TATCCCGCATCAGAATTTGTATTTTTGTATTTAAACAGCGCCAATAGCGTCAATACCAATGCGCGCCTTGTTTGTATTGCGCGTGTTTGTTGTCTGGCTGGTAATAATTATAATTTGAAGCGTGTTTTACCGTTGTTCGAGCGATGGTTTTAAGTGGAAGTCGATACGCGACGATAAATCGAAGCGGGCGCGACACAAAAGGTACCAGAACCGGAGCCTCGCCGAGCGAAACAATCGCGCTTCCGGTGTGCCTGGTGCCGTGCCTTGCGGCTCACGGGCTGGTAAACGAAAAGAAAAATTATTAATGTTAACGCACACGGTATAATCATTATGGTGCGCTACCGTAAACGACATCGGACTATATTTAGCATAATAAGCGTGCCTGTCACATATGAAAACTCATTTATTACGCCTGAAAGCTATCAATAACTGCTTTCACTTATAAAAGTTATAAACATTATTTTGGGCATATTATTGGTCAGTATTTCCGGCTTTAATGTGAGTTTTATTGTGTTTGGGTTCAATTAGTGTGTGTGATATGTTGTTACACATTTAGTACTGGGTAATAGTGAAATAATTTATTTTGAATATTTTGTATTATAAACAGGAAAACAATGTTTGAATTGATTTTAAAATATTCAAAGTGATATTGTTTGATAGGTCATTAAATTCTTTCGTAGTGATGCATTGCATTGTTGTATTAATCAGTTGATATCCGTGAATTATTGCGTTTCTTCTTTATGAAACAAAATGGTTGCATTGTATGTAATAATGTTTAACAATCAAAGTCCAAACGTGTGGTACGTTGATAGTAGTAATAATAATTAACTTTTTAGTATTTCTTGCAAAATGAAAGCTATTTGAAAGCTAATAATTATATTGGCGTTTAAATTATACAAATACGTATTAAAAATGTGAAGATTTGTTTGTTTTTGTTTGTTAGTGTCACTTTCACGCGAAAACTACCCAAACAATTTTGATAAATTTTGGTAGAAAGAAAGGTTAGACTGTGGAGAAAGACATAGACTACTTTTTGTTACAAAAATATACCTTACAGGGTGTAAAATAGAGGATGAAAGTTTTATTTATTAAGATTTCTCATTTCTTCACAATAAAATTAAGAAATTGAAATTAAGCATTTTGCTTTTTTGCTTTAAAGCTACAGTTCTTGGACTATTTTCTATCACTATAAAATCCAAGGGTTTTTTCGAACACATGGTATACTCATAATCATTTACTTCGTGTTTCTTTAATGTTTTCCTTGTTAGTCAAAACATGTTTGATCGTTTTAAAGCACTACTAAATTCTTTTGTTTTCCCCGTATCGCATGGCACTTGAAAAATAAACGAGCGCGTATTTCCGTTTCCTGTTTTCCGCCTTGCTTTCCGCTTTTCGTGACTGCGCGCCGTCTTAAAACTAAATGGCCGCATAACCGACTTAATATTATCTCTCCTCGCAGGTATAACTCGTTTACGTATTATATTAGTTTTAATTTGCGTAATTTGCTAATTTACCGTCTGCGATTATTTTTATTCTCATTATTATTGCGTCAATAAAAGACACATTTGTGTGTGTACGAGATTACATCGCATCTATTCGAAGGTTTTAAATGTTATGCAACCAAATACACACATGAAGGCATTCAGTGCGCGCCTCCTAGAAATAGTATGTGATTTTCGGTGATTTTTCCGATGCTCCAGCTGCCAAATGTTAAAATTTAGCGTGTTTGCGCGTTTGGTAATTAACTCGTTTAAAATTCGAACGCGTGCGTTTTGGGTTATCTTGATTCTGGTCTTCTGCTTTCTGCCACCACTTGGCCGCTGAAAAACGTTTAAAAGCTCGACGTGTGGCTCGGGTTTCCGCATGAAAAGCTTTTCGATCTTTCAATCTCAGCGCGTCTGATTTTTGATGCGCAACACGCCACACGAAAATAACTTTCTCAAGTGGTGCGCTTCTGTTTCAAGCGCAGATTAGAGATAATGCACACCTCATAACTACAATATCAATGGTGTACTGTACGAGTATAAACGACAATTCCAATGCATCTTTCAAAATATAAAAAATAAATAAGTTTTTAAAGTTTTTACGGTTGTTCAATGAAGTGGGTAAATAATTATAAAACAGCTTTAGTCTGATTTTTTACGAGTCTATTAAGTTTCCCTAAAAATCCCGAATTCAAAGAGTTGGTTGTGGATGAATGATCGGGTTGGTTCTCGGGCACTCGTAAAATATATTTCCGTCTATTTGTCTTTCCGCTTTTACGTCTACTTCCGCGTCTACTGCTCAACTTTATCAATTTTTTTTAATATGGCGCATGTCGAATGCGTTTTTGTGCGCTTTTCGAGCTTTGAGGCGGCGGGCGGAGGGCTCATTTGTAGTGGAGTGCGGATGAACTTTCGTAGTAAAATGCAAACTAAACTGTTCTCGGCCGCCGCCAAGGACTGTATCCCGAAAGTTTGCCGCACGCCCCGGCGATAAAATAATACGCATATTAAAAAAGTTTGCTAATTTGTGTGCGCTTGTGCGCTTTTCGCGCTTGTTAGCCGAAAAGCACGGAAACGAAGCGGAGAAACCTCGGAATAAAGACGAATGAGTGAAGGAGTGATGAAAATGTCTTTGCGAATAGAGTTTTCACAACTTACTACTACTTATTGTTGATTTGCACTAAATTTATAGCAACAAAAACCCAAAAGTTGATAAATAACTTGTTTAAAAATAAACTATCTGTTAAACTTCTGCGTCGTACTACATATAACACATAACTTCTAGTTATCTACCTGCGTAGAATATGTATGAAGTTTGTGTTTTGTGTTATTCAATATGGCTGCAATTGCGTTTCAACCAGCATAACCTACTTTGGTACTTGTTTTGTATTCTCCAAAGTATCACTTATATCACCTGCCTAAAATGGACTTCGCCTACTTGTGGTGTTCGATTCTAGTACAATTTTAGACGGATTGACGAAGCCTGTTTGTTTAACGCTACTACTGTTCTTATTGATTTTAACCGCTCATTAAACCGTTAAGTAAAGTTTACTTAAATGCAAACATTTAAACAAAATTAAAACATCGGCTGATTAATACGTAAATTTGAGTCAGCGGTATCTTTTAATGTCTTAACTAATATTATAATTGCGGTCGGGAATTATTTTGTTTGTTTGTGTCGCTTTTAACGCATAAACCATTTGAAGAATTTTGATAAATTTTATAATTTAGGTAATTTTGACAAAGCAAAATAAAATAGGCCACTTTTTGTTACAAAAATATGATTAGAAGGGTGTAAAATAAGGGATGAAAGTTGATATTAAGATTTTATCATATTTATAGTTGTATTATTCGAATCTAGATGGCGTTGAAGGGCATTATTAACATTTCTCTTCTCTTTAACATGCCTTTATCTTTAGAGTCCGACCGAAACTATGTGCGAACTGAGATGGCAAGTGACCACCACGACTTAGCCGCGAGTTAGCCGAACGACGCACGATAATTCACGAACACTGAGTTTCGGTTCTGCCAAAAGTTTCAGCCAATTTTGGCCGAAACCAAATTTGAAGCCAAAACTGAAACTTTTGTCGGTCACTATTTATTATAATATGTAATCTGAGTGACACATTTGATGACAAAGATGCAAGGCCCTGATTGTATAGGTGAAACGAGGAGAAGATATAACCTAACCAGTGGTGTAGTCAAAAATGAATAAGTCTCGTTTCAAATGAGCCGTGTACCACCGGTGGTACACGCCGTCCCACAGACCAGACGCGTGTGTACCACCGGTGGTACACGCCGTCCTTAACGTGTTAAAAGACAATTAAGAATTTTATTGAAAACGACTCCACCCACTAATATTTGCAAGGAACAAGAAAATAGGCCAAAACTACTTCGTTTTGTTATTCTAACGGAATTAAGTTTACGTTATGTGGTGTTTGTTACAGATTGTAGCTTGTTTCGATGAATGGCATATGATATTGGCCGGCTTTCGCCTATTTCATTAATTTTGTGAAATAAATTCACGCGATTTGCCCTTTTGCGATTTCATATTGCACGATGCAATATGAGGAAAATCATCATCAAACTTCCATTATTCACCAAATTAATTAAAAGTGGAAACAAATTAAATTTTAATAATTAATAAATTCACCGATTTGCATACGCTCTGCGCACTACTCAATCGGAAGCTTGGTTAAAATAATGTTTCATTAAATTGATATTTATGAATTGTATGCAAATCTATTTTGAAATATTAAATAAAAACTAAAATAAAACGCAAAACCTGCGCAATGATGACTGTCCAAACAGCTATAGACTTAAATGAATATAAAATATAGTAAACTAAATAATAAACATAATAAATGTGCATAATTTAGTTAATATTTTAATTAAATTGCATTTTCGCGAATAATTGCGAATTTGCGCGCAAAAACAAACGGAAAAACAGTTTTAATCGTCGACTGTTTCCATTCGGCGCTCGCTGCCTCGCTGAGTAACTCTGTTTAGGCAATTTCAACCCGTTTTTTGTTTTGTTTCGCCGCTGTTTTTTCACGTCTGTGCGCAGCGTGTTTTGCATTGCGCCGAAACGGACAGGCTTGAAAATATAATTGAATAATTGAATTTTCAGTTTCGGTTCAGCGTCAGACTCGCGGGCAATTCGCTTTGACGTGCGGACATTAAGTTTGGTTATATTTAACGTTTGTCTGCCGGTTTGATTGTCAGCTGAGTTGCATTCGCATTTCTAAATTTTCTAAAGGATGCGCTGATTACTCAATCAGTAAAGGACGCGTACAATCATCTAGTGTGGTGTAGACGAGGATGCGAACAACGATGGCTAATTATAATTGTTTGACGCGCGCCAATTATTCGCGCGTCCGAACGGTTCATTTCAACTTATTTTTAGTTTTTCGTAATTCTAACTTAACACTTGACTAAATATAAATGTTAAAATATTTAACACTATTTATGTGTTTTTTTTTTAAATTATAATTAATTGTTGTTTTATTGTTACAGAAAGAAAACTATTTGTTGGCATGCTGAGCAAAAAGCTGTGCGAAAACGACGTGCGCGCCCTCTTCAGCGGCTATGGCAACATCGAAGAATGCACAGTGTTGCGCGATCCAGCCGGACAGTCACGCGGCTGCGCATTCGTCACCTTCGCGACAAAGCAATGTGCACTGAGCGCAATCAAAGCCCTCCACCAATCACAAACGATGGAGGGTTGTTCAGCGCCTCTGGTGGTGAAGTTTGCTGACACGCAGAAAGAGAAAGAGCTCAAGAGGCAGCAGCAGATGCAGGTGAACATGTGGGGTGCGATTGCGCAACAACAGGCGCCGCAGACACTGCAACAGCAAGCACCGCAGCAGTACTCGCAGGTGACGCTGCCGGCGGACGCCACCTCACAGCTACAGCTACTGCAGGCGATGTCGTCGATGAACAGCACGCTACCACTTTTGCAGCAACAATTACTAGGTGGCAATGATAATATCATGCCAATTGGAATGCAAAACCTGGTGACGTTGGCGGCGATGGCACAGCCAGCGGCGGCGGCAGCCACTGCCGCCTCACCTTTGTGTATGGCGAATTTGCTCGGCAAGACTACGACTGTGGATCGGTCTTCGTTGTCAGCAGCCGCCGGTCTTCAGCCAAGTTTGGCTACTTCGGCTGATTTAAGTTCCTATGGGTTGTTTACCAGCGCCACGATGTCGGCGGCGGCGATAGCTGCTGCGGGGAAGCAAGTTGAAGGTATGGCACAATCAAATTCCTTTGAACATTGTGTATATTTATAACACTGCAACAATTTGCATTTGTTTTGTTTAGCTCGGTTATGTTTTTGTTTTATTTTGTGCTAATGCAGCAACCCAACACACATTCAAGTGTGCTTGGTGTGTTGCATGCACACGGACGAGAGGGCGACACTTCCGTTTCGTTTTCATCCGCATCCCTTTGCCGCCGGCGGCGGCTGCTTTTTTTCGTCCGTGTCGTTTCCGGCTGTGCGCCGCGCGCTTTGTGTTGTCGCGCTAATGTAACATAACGCATTACGACATTACTAATTCCGCTTGAATTTTAATGGCCGGCCGCCGTAATGTAACGTAACGCCGCTTGATTAATGACGCCAGCGTGTCGAAGCACCGCGCTGCCGTTCGCAATCCGCAACCATTTGCGTGTTTCGTTATTTATCATTCCGTGTTTTTGTCTGTCGGCCAGCTTTGCGAAAGCATTAGTTATCATTTAGACGCACAACAAAATAGACAGCGGATTTAAAAGAAATGCCGCCATTTTGAAAACAAACAAGACAAGACGTTAATGTTATTTGTTTCGGTTCATTGTTTCGGCAGGTCCTGAAGGATGCAACCTGTTCATTTACCACCTGCCACAAGAGTTCAACGACACCGACCTGGCGTCGACGTTCCTGCCCTTCGGCTCGGTGATATCGGCGAAGGTGTTCATCGACAAGCAGACGAACCTCTCCAAGTGCTTCGGCTTCGTGTCGTTCGACAACGCCGCCTCGGCGAAGGCGGCCATCCAGGCGATGAACGGTTTCCAGATTGGCACCAAGCGGCTGAAAGTGCAACTAAAGCGTGCGAAGGAGGCGTCTCGGCCTTATTAGCCGTGCGCATGCGCCCACTTTCCAAGCCGCTAACTACCATCATTTGATTCCCAAATCCTTGGAACACGCGTCGAGTGCAATCTTTTCTAATCTATAAACAGAGACAATGACAAGCAGGAAATAAACTGAAACTCGCCGCTCTGCCCATAAACCAAGTGGGAGGAGCCCAGTGTAGTGCATCGCTATCGCCGGGGGCGCAACCCCCGCCTACGAAACATACCAAAAAGCAAATTAGTCTTTATTTTTTAAACAAAGAGAAAAACAAACATACTGGACGATTGAGGGACAGAAGCTTACCAAAAAATGAAAAGTCCAAAAATAATAGCGCATAATTAATGAAGACTATTGATAAAAAAGTGAAGAAAGTGCCACACTTGTATTGTACTGATCTAATGATATGTTGCAGACACATACACTTGAAAACAATCACACAACACACACGAACACAAGAGGTAAACACCGTGAACACGTTGCTAAGACGCTCTCAGGATCACCGCGCGGCGAAAAAATCCGCACACGAACCACCACCAATCAAATCGGATACGTAGCTAACACACCACACACTGTTAGGCAACCAAACACACAGTATCACGTAAGCAACATCACTTTTACCTTACCTATTATACAAAACGCAGCGATAGCAACACGGAAACCGAACACAATTGAAACCCAATTTACAAACAAAAACAATAGCAATTTATGGCTGCTGTGGGGGCGCCACATTCAAGACAAACGAAAATTGTAAACAAATAAAATTGGAATTGTAACTTGAATCACGGGCTACTGCGAATGTGTTTTGGTAGATGGCGCTATAGGCAATTTATTACAAACGTGACACGCGCGCGAACGAACTCTTTGTGTGTGTGCGGCATTATGAACTAAACAAAACATACAAAAATGAAAACAATGTTAAATGTTATGTTTGGATATATTTATATATAAATAACAAATTAGTGAAAATTGTAGGGTTTTACAAAAAAAATAACAAACAACAAAATGAAGCTAAACAAATTTTTGATTGTAATCAGAGAGCGACGAGAGCGCCACAGTTGTGAAAAGATTCCGTATTACATACTGCTGAACATAAATTTTACTAAGATTTTCTTGAGAAAATATGCGAAAAAAGACGCAGAGTTATTTTACTTCTAAACGATGATGTATTTTTCGAAAGCGCAGCGCAGTTATGGACGCCGAATTTATTGTGTATCGATAATCGTATTATGTTTTAATTTAATTTATAGTTTATCTAGTTGCAAGACTTGTGAGAAGAAGCGGTTTTCATTTGTTTCATTTATTTTAATTCATTTTTTCGCGGCCAGTGTCAGTAATCGAACTGTAATCATTATTTGTGTTTGATTTGGTTTTATTATTTTATATTTAATTTTTTTTTGCGTTGTACGGTTTTTTCATTACGCGTTTCTTTTTTTGTAGTCCGAGTGTCGTTTTATTTTTTGCGTTTTTGACAGTTTTACGTTTGTTTCTTTTAGTTTTTCTGTTGCAAGTTTCACATTTCTCACGCGCAAGAAAATCCAGTGACCAATAAGTGATAACGATTTACGATTTAAATATTTGCAAACATGGCGGCGCGACACGTGCACACACACGCGGCATGCCACATATAGTTAATATTGATTGTATTAAATTATAAAAAAAAATGATCAAGATTTAATATTGTACATTTAAGTGTTTTACACAGAAACAAAAAGCAAAAAAAAATGACGGCGATTTTCCATGTCGGGAAAAAGTCATTTTGATGAACGTTGTTTGTTACGTATTGAAACGAATTGTTTTCATTTTTCGTTTGTAATATTCGTCGATGGTTTTTGATACTTTTTAACAATTCACACACAAATTGAATGTTTGTTTACGTTCGAAGTCGTTTCGAAAACTATTTCATTACTTTTTTCTTTTTTTCGTTTTTGTAATTATCATTGTACTTAGTTTTTGTTTTATTCTGATGTATTTCGAGGGCAGCTGCGCATGCGCGCGCCGCTCGATAGTCGAGTCGTGGCCATAATGTGCAGAAGGGTGGAACTATATTGTTGAATGTACTTTAATTTCTATATTTTGTTATAACTATGAGTCTTATTCGATTATTTCAAATATTTGATTAAATGAAATGAAAATGAACACGTTTTAATCACAAATTTCTTTCAGAAAACAGAAACATCAAGAAAAAACAGGTTTGTTTAGAATAATTATATGTAAATTTATGTTTTAGGTCCGTGAAATAATTCTACTAATGTAAATTAGTTAAGAAAATAGCTGCATATGCTGTTTATTGTTTATCTTGAGGTAAAATTATGCATAACATTGGAATTGGCGCATTTCTCTCGTATATTTAATAGAAAAACATAAAAATTCAAAATTATTCCGCACAAAAGAACGGATTTGCATGGGAAAAGCACTCGGCCGGGCTTACGGCTAAGCGCTCCCACTCAACCGTGCCAGCAGCTAGAAAAATGCAAATACTCATCTCACCGCATGTCAGGGGGTGGCGAAAAAATGAAAACTTGATGCAAGATACCACCGCGCTCATACGAGCGAAATTTCTGCACACAGGTGCGCGAGGTGCATTTAAGGGTGTAGGGTGGCGAGTAGTGCATAAAACTCGCGCCGACGGGAAATTGGCGAGCGCGCATCGGTTAATGGAGAAATAATTCAATCAGTTAATATCAACCTGCTCGCCCGTTCACTCTACTCGGGCGCAGGGATTAAAACCTCTTGTGTAAAAGCAATCTGCGCGTTTTTTACTGTTTTATTGCAAAATTCCGCATCGAATATATTACCCAAGCAAAGTTAATACGCGGAATTTTAAATTACATTCCACATTTAACCAAAACTAAAAAAACGACGCCATTAACTGCACGGACATTATCTTCCGGAAACATAATCTTCCGCTGACCGTTCGACGTACAATTATAGCTCGTAGTGCATTACTGAAACATACGGGTCCATTACGTGCCGAAATTACGCATTGTTTATTAGCGCGCTCCAATAGTTATTAGTTATTGCTCTCCACTCGCGTCGCTGCATTAACGCGTTCGAATAAACCGAACGCGGACATTATCCACAACTCACATAACAAGCGCTAATGTTTGTTTGCGTGCCATTGCCAAATATAGGCAACCAAATTTACAACTCAACCGTACGTTTCTATATATATATACTATATAAAATTGTTTTGTTTTACACCGTCAGCGTCTTCATTTATCTGCTTGTCACGGCTGATAAAGCTCCCCGGGATTTGAAGGAACGAATATGATGGATTTCGTGCGCCCGCAAAGTGGGTGACAGCTGTCATCGTCGCGGAATCCCGCGGGTTTAGCCCCTGTGTACGCGATGCATTGTTCTTTGCATACTTGTCAGCGTGCAAGGACTCGACAGACGACAGCCTACACCTATTGATAAACGCGTTTATAGATAATGCACGTCCTTTTCGGGATATTCAGGACACCTGGATCCATTCAAACAGGTAAAGCTGCAATCATTTGTTTCCGAAGCTTTCAACCGCGAACGTATATTGTGTTATCCGTATACCGGGTTGCATATATTCGGAGTTTAATGTTTTGTGTACAGGCAGTGTTCCCAATTGCACTTAGGGAACTAAAAACGGGATAAAATATAGCGGGTTGTCAGTAGCACATCAAAGTAGATGTCTTTTTGTTGCCTGCAACGACGTCGTGCGAACACTTTTTGATGGATGACATCTGTTTGTGCGCTTTGCGTTTCGAGTTTTAATGCGTTTCTCGTCTGCGCAATGCGCCAGCAATTGCATAATTTGTTTATATGAACGCAATTCGAGTTCGGCGAGTGTATGAATTTAAAATAACAGCGTTTCCTTCGCAGTAATGTTTCGCGCTGTACATGATGGTGATACTGATTGTACAATATATTGAACGCGGGTTGAACACAGTTAAATTTAATTTTCGTGTTTTGATGATGCATTCATTGATGGTATGATGTGATGTGATGTGTTTATTGGTGTTAACGCATGACGCAACACAGTGAATGAAAGCGTCAAAATAAAACGCTGCGAAACGCATGGAAACGCACTTTACGAGCGCGAGTTTATTCAAAACTAGCTGCGACTGTTAATGTTTCGTCAACACGTCCGGTATTTGTTTGGGTGCCATTAATGCATTTTTCAAGTGTCGCACTATAAACAAAAACAGATTAAAAACGTATTAAATTGATGCCATTCTATATAATTCTTAAAAATACTAGAGATTTATTTTATTTTTTATTTAAATTTAAAAACAATTGCAATACCTATCAGGTATTTTTTTAAATTCAAGTGCATATTTTAAATTTTTCGTTTTTTCAATTGTAATCCTTAAAAAAATGATGAAACGAAGGTGATCAGCGTTTGCGTGGTGAGCGGGGTGAATAAAATGGCAATTTTCTTTGCATGCAAATGGCGTGGAGCGCGCGGTGCCTTTGAAGATTTTTCCGTTTTATAAATGCGCAATTAAGTCGAAGCGCCCGGCGCGCAGAAGGGAGTCATTTACATTTAACGTCCCACCTTCCGTTCGCGAGGGTGGTTTCACTTTCCGGAAATATCCAGCAACGTACCGCTTGTTAGTTTAACTAGCCCACGGTGGTTTTATACCTTACGTATATTTGCAAACTGAAAAATAGAGAAAGAGAGAAAACCGACGATTAGTGGTTTCTGTAATTGCGGTTTGATGAAGATATATGTGTTTAGAGAGAGAGGTATCCCATCAACATTTTCTTCTTTTTGTACAAATACGGCTCCTCCACCAAAATTTTAAAATCAAAATAGAAACTTCGATTTTTTGCTGCGCGAACAAATTTTTGATATTATATTAACGTAAATATTTTTAAATTGACTTTAATAATTAAATTATTTATATAAAAGGGTATATTGGTGTATTTAAGTAGAGGGCAAACAAAAAAATAAATAATTAGGGAAATATTACTGTTTGCTGATGTGGGTGAGGCACACAGACTTTTTACTAGTTTTTTTTTTGTTTCTTGCGTCTTGAAAACTGCACTCTCGTGCAATGTTCGGCTTTCTTTGGCTTTCTTCTGCCGCGAAATGAGCTTGTTAATGTGTTTATGGCCGTAATGCGCTCGTTTGCGCTCGACGCGCGGCGTGCGGAAGCCGTTTGCGTTCGCTTGCGTGCGGAAAACGAACGGAAAGCCATTTTATAACAATTTAAACCGAAACGCCCGCATAAGAATAACTAAAATAAGCAACTGTATTAAATTCAACTCTCTGAGAGTCCATACACACGCACAAAATAATCGAAACTAAAAGATATATAAAGAGTTGGAAAAACAGCGTAATTTCCCGAACAAAAACCTCTGATACTTTCGCGTTTCGTTCCGTTCGTTCGTTGTTTATTTAAGCGTGTTCTGTGCACTCAGTGTGTGTATATACATTATTGAACAACATTATTTCAACTTCCGATGGTTTCGTCGAAATCGACGTTTAGACGTGAAATATTCATGCATTATGTCGCACACGTTCTCGTTAAAAGTAAACGCAAACGATGAGCGTACCTTAAGTGCCATGACTATGAGTAGGCACTACGACGGCTATTGTCGAATGTCGATGGCTGGCTGCGCTCTCGTGCGGTTGGGCGCTGTGTACATTGAAAATTCACGCGTGCACGTTAACTGAAATAACGCGGCGCACAAATCAAACAAATTGTGGTAAACGCGCGGGAGGAATCGGAGAGATTGGTGGAATAATAGAAAGTTTCGAGTTGACATAGGCAAATGTTCAGAATGTACAAGTACCGCATTGACATGCTTTAAAAACAATCGGCAAGAAGAGGAAACCGCCGGTAAAATTACAAACAATTGGATATTTGCATGAAACTGGTTTAGACCTGTTAATGTGGTTGCATAAATTGTTTGATAAGCATGAAGCTTAAGGAAAAAATACAAACTAATTTTCACAAATAGTTTTTGAATAATTTGAGGACTAAAAGTGGTAAAAAAATGCTTTTTTCTTAAATAATGAATTATTTAAGTATTTATATATACAAAAACAATACAAATATCCAATTGATTTTGTTAAAATTTATTGTTTTGAGTAGTTAAGGTAATACACATCCATAACCCGCAGCAAATCCAGCCAAATTTCGGTCGTAAAGTGGCAAAAATAAAATAGAAATCCAAGCGATATAAGTCGAATATTGTATTACTCGTCGTCGCAAATTACAAAACGCGATTTATCTCGATTTATCTCCGGGTATTCGAAAAATCCAATATCATTTTCCATCTCGACATGAAATAAAAATACATCTGTATATATTCCTCAATGGCTGCCCTCTCCCATTGCGCAGAGGGATGCGAGCCGAGCAAAAATAAATTCGAACATCGGGAAGAAATGAAAATGAAATAAAACTATAAAATATAGCCGAGTATCTCTCCACTCTCCGGGTTGGGAACGCAACGAACCCTTGCAAACGTACACATTTTCCGGGAATTCCCCTCACACTCGAACAACGCTCGCTGGAGTTGTCAGATTGGTGGACTACATTCGACAACATTCATTTGCCGAGCGTAATGTTCGATGCGTTCGTCGATGTTCAACCGTATCAAACTTCAAGCGCAAATATTCAACACGTGATGAAAAAACACGCAATGAAAACAGAAACGGAACAAAAAAAAAACACGAACGCAACGGGAGATACGTACCTACCTGTTCATTTGGTTTCATAGCAAACAGTTGTAATACAGTTTCGTTCGAACCTCCGGTTTCAATGCGTACTTGTATTCAATTGTTCCAATTTCCATCTCAGGTTTGTGAACATAAACAAAACACAGCTCATTCCAGGACAGCTTTATACGCATGCATACAATGCTTGTTAACAAGTTAGCATCGGCAGTAAACTGTATTCGAACAAATATATTCGATAGGTGGCAGTACGTAGTGATAGGACTTCATGGAGGTTATGTTGCAGTCTATTGTCTTAAATTTCTTTCATTTTGAAATGTTTTGTTACACGATTTAATCGTACGTGTGCAAAAAACATAAATTTACTCCGCGTAAACATTATTGGTTTTTAATATATTTCTTATCAACAATCGTATTTGCATATTTATCAAAATTAGGATGTCTGGCAACAACGCGTCTGAAATAGATGATTTCTCCGATAAAACCACAAATACTAATGAAATATCCAACTAATAATGCAACTATAGCTCCAAAAAACTTTTGCATACTCATTATTGCCTTTGGACCATCATCCGTTGAAATTTCCGCAGTCAATGTTGTTTGCATCACGTCATTCAACCACTTCTCAATCAGCCCGGCTTCTATAACTCTGCTAATAAATTTATCAAATTTTGGTTTTATCGGTGAGTTTTTCTGCAGGCCAATAGAAACAGGCATGTTGATGATGCATGTCGACATGATATGTAAATTTCTTTCAGCGGCAATCTGTTCATCGGTAAGGTTGGACCGCGTCAATTGAAACTTTAATTGTCTTTTTACTGATGTCTGCTTTAGGAAGTGAATATTCTCGTATAGAGCAAATTTTCCTAAGGCAACACGCTCGGTTGCTACGTCCGTGTTGTTGATAATTTCAAAACGACTTCCTAGTTCTTGTGAAATAGGATCTAGGGAAGTCAAGAAGAAGTCTTTATTGAATTCACCCCATCCACCAATTGATAAGTCAGAGGCTAAAAGTTGTTCTAAAGTATCGATTGTAACTCTAAAAATGTTATTATTACGTTTAGAACTGGTTTTGTTTATTTTTATAAAATTTTACCTTGGTGATGGATTAGCCAAGATGGCCGTCATGCTAGCACGATAACTAACCACAACAAGTGTGCAGTACAACCAATACCACCCAGTCAACATTCTCAGCGACCATCCTGTGGGGACTTTTGGAAGTGAAATCATCAGAATCATACCGTAAGTATATAAAAATGAGTTAACACCCTCTCCAAACAGGTTTAAACCTTCGGGTTCACCTTCTTCCTTAACCACTTCATGCTCACGTCGCATTAATGTATATTTTAAATCGGTTGGAGCGTCTTTTATTTGAGGAATTGCCGGGTTGCGTTTTTCTGGTTTCCAGAAAGTTTTCATCAAACCCATGTGAAACTTTGCTAAATAATAGAAGAAGAAGGAGATGAAGAACATTGCTGTGAGGACACTGAACCACATAATAGGTCTGCAATAAAAGTAAAACCATTAAAAAGATAAATATTTGCATGGTAATAAATTAATTATTACTTAAAAGGTAAAATTAATGTTTTCCATGAGTTATCCGTCAAAGATTCCGGAGTTAAAAATGTTAAACATTCAGTTGTATATGGAAGTGTCAAATCCATAATGTTTAATATATAAGGTGTGTAATAGAAGTCACCAAGGCCAATTTCAGCTTTACTACGAATTAATTCACCAAACAATCCACTCAGCGATCCATCTTCCTGTTTATCCCCCCCCAGAATTCCTCATCTATATTTTCAGGTTCATACAATTCCGGATAGAAGTTCATTGTCTTTGCTACAGATGATAAAATCTACACAACAACATAAATTAGGTTATGTTGTATAAAAATGTAAGGTTATGTTTACTTCAATCTCAATGCCACTGAACCCATAGTTGCCTGCTTTTAGAATACTCCTCGAATCTTTGAACGGTGGGATATCCACTTTCTTCGCAGCGGGAATGTGTTGGAACGTCGCCACCTTCATGCTCTGATTCCTCAGATCCGATGTCTTATCTCGGAACAAGTTGACAGCGAGGCGGAACTTGCCGGCACGCCAGATGTCCACTCTGCGTGGCACTAGGACACCGCGAATTGGCGCTGGGAATGGCACCGTGGATAATTCGAACCACGGGATTGTTTTCTTTTCATTGTTGGGTAGTTTTTTTACACCTAGGTATTCTTTGATGAATATTACGTTTACTATGCGTTTCCAAATGTAGTGTAAATCTTTGTCGAAGAGACGATTATCGTAAAGAATTACAAAATTTGCTCTTGTGTCCAAGACTCGATAACTAAAAGATGAAATTTTTGATTATATTAAATATAATGTATATTTAGTTGCCTACCGATCGCCATATTGTAATAATCTGGACATTTGTAAACCGTTCGCTAGGAGAATGATGTAAGTTTGACAATCTTGATGTCGCACTTTGATTAAACTTTTTTGTGTGTCAGGGTATGGTGATAATAGATCATCGTGGTCTTCTACTAATATCTAAAAGATGAAAAACATTTTATATCAGTTATAAAGTGGTTTTAATAAAAATACTTACAAGAAAATAAGAAATGTAAACGTCCATATTAAAAAAGACGTCTTCTCTGAACACATTGTAATAAACTGAATCACACATGATGACAATGCAGGAATATGTCTTGATTGATTTCAACATGATGTCAATCAACAATTTCTCCATTTCGCGGCCTTCTTCTGTTATTTCCTTAGCTAGAATTTGTTTTCTAAAACCGCAATTTATTCAATCACTAAAATTCTTTTATATTTTGAATACAAACCCTGGTTTAATAACTGGTTTAGGAGCATCTTGTGTTAAACTCAAGTGGAATCCATTCAAAAATATCAAAAACCAAAGTATTTGATGTTTCCACATAGTGTTCTTTCTTGATTCTGGCTACAGTCTAACTTAACAGCAAATTGAAGTTACTTACAAATCTAATTTTATTTAAATTGCTTTCATTCCTTGTCTTTACCTTTATATTCATTTAGTATTGATTGTAAATCAGAAAATGTAATTTGCTTTAATTGAAAACACAGCTTTTCATTTAGTAAAAAGGTCAAAAGGGTTGAGTGACGTGACCCGATGTTAAAACATTATTTATTAAAATGTTTCCATCGAGTTTTGGGTTCATGCCAAATAAAATATATGTTATTTGTGAGTTCAGTGCAAAATGAACGAAAGGAAATTCAGGAATGAAACACGCTGCGCCATCTGACATACTTTCCAGTGAATATAATTTCAATACTTTGTAATATGCTAGAACAGTGTACTTTTCACACTGCAGATGTCGGCATTCATTCTAAGAAGTGTAGTATTATAAGTTAATAAAGTAATATTGAATTTTTATTTTGTTTGCGTTGATTCTTTTATTTATGGATTTAATTTTATACTAGACAATTGATAATGTCACTTTGGTGAAACATATCCAATGAAAATAACTTGTTTACTTGTTCGTTTGTGTGTGTGTGTGTGTTTAAGCGGCGAAGATTGTGTTTTATCAGGTATCGTTGGCTATTGCAGTTTTGCAGTCGTCTAGGATGCGCGCACATCACTGCATACCAAGGCCGCGTGCGCGCGCCCCTGACGCTAGCCACACGCGCTCAACTAGAGCGGCTTAAGCCTTCCTTTAGTCGAGTCGTGTTGTTTGTGGTTGCCGGTTATCGCCACTCGTGTGTTACGCGCCGCCATTATAGTTCGGCAACTATTCTATACGTTTTCTCGTAATAAACGGATATTGTGCTGTGCTACTGAAGAATTTCGCTAGAAGTATTCTCAAAACCTTAGCTGGCAGCTATGAGGTAAGCAGTACAATTGGAAACAAATGGAATTATCATCTCACAAGCATGTTCTCTCTCCAGTTCGACTTCATAATCGACGTGCCAGATGATTGAACGCATTTTCTCATTGCCAGTACATGTATTTGATGTGCGCAATTTGAGGTAAGTTTATAATTGAATTATTATTATTCTTAATACGTACAATGTACACGCAGAACATTCATATTCGAGTTGTTTTCGTTTCTTTCTCTACTTGTTATCAGTATTTGTATATAAACAACTTTTTATCGCGTTCAACTCTCGTTCTTGCCGCGTGCTGTCGCATTCACGGCATGCATTCGAGTCGTGTTTTATAATTAAATTTATTTCTAACTTTCAAGAAAATTTTATGTTTGTAACTAATTATGACCGAAAAAATCAAGTCCGTCATAACATGCCGTGGAAATTTGGCTCTATACCGCAAATTATTTTAAACATTTGCGTGTTTTCTTAAAATTTATATAGCGAAAAACAGTCTTTAAAATAGATTTGAAATATTTTAATTTTGTGATTATTCGAACCACGCGGTGGAAATTTGGTTGTATCTGGGAAACCTTTCGTGCGATTTCTATGATATTTTCAAATTTAGATAAAGCACTATTATCGTTTGATTTTTCCTTGTTTTTTAGTTATATTGCAATTAATCGCAATTGTATAGTTGAGTTTCATTCGGTTTACCGTAGCAGGGTGACGATAGAAGTGACTCGTATTCTGGGCACCGTACGAGGGTAGCGGTGGAAGTGACTCGTTTTCAGGGCACCGTAGCTGACTCCCGTTTGCCCATTTTTTCTTATGAATTAAAATTTCATCTCTTATAGATGCATTTTAATTAGCGTATCTTATAGAAAATTTTACGTATATTAAGAATTTGAAATCTGTTCGTCTATATCTCTTTTAGTTTACGTGATATTCGCAAGTCAAATAAATCGTAAAAAAATTAAAAATTGAAATTTTTAGCACTTTCAGTCGCGTTTTTATACTATTTACCCCATGGAATTAACGTATTTTAAACTTTCATCTGATAGAGAAATTTTCAGTCATCCATAATATGCAATTTGTTGGGTGCTAGCTCTTTTAGTTTGGAAGATATTCGCTATCGAAAATCGTCGATAAAAATTATCAAGCAAGCCTTGGCAATTTTTTCTTAAGAATGAAAATTTCATCTCTCAGATTTCCGCTTTAACTAGCTTATCTTATAGAAAATAGTCCGTAGAATAGTCTCTGCGATTTGTTCCTATTTATCTCTTTTAGTTTACGAGATATTCGCCATTGAATAAAATGGGCAAACATTGAAAACTGTCACTTTTTAGCACATTTAACCACGTTTTTAGACCGTTTACCCCACAAATTTTAAATATTTTAATATCTTATCAGATAGAGAATTTTCCAATCTTTCATTATCTACATTATTGGTAAATGACGATTGAGCGATGAACTGTTTTTCACACTCACACATACACACACGCATGCACGTTGTTTTCAATTTCATTGTAAAATAAACCTTGTTGCATATTTGATAAATGTGTTTTGAATATTTTCAAGTTGATAAATATTTTCAAAGGTTAGATGGCGCTACGATGTACGGTTTCGCGTTAAATATTGCTTATCGGTGGTAGTGAGTGCACACCGTGTCCGTGTGCGATCACGCGATTTCGCGCAAGAGATAAGTTTGTTTACCTGCAGGTATCGAATCTTTATTTCGTGGAATCAAAACACACCGTTGATGTATATTATATTAGCATCGTAAATTTAAGCAAATATTCTTCGATTCTTTCATGAATATAACTAACAATTTTATACTAATTTAAATACATTTTTATTATCAGTAGATGATTACGGACTAATGTGTTACCTGGTAAACAAGAAACGATACATGTTCAAATTAAATATCACTTAATTATTTAATGTAAAATTTGGCAATCTGTCAGCATAAGAAATCAGAATTACTCAAATCGAATTTTAATTTTTTATTACATTAACTAATGTAACTATCGAAACTACTGTATCATTTATAGATAGAAATAGCATGGACCAAAAATTGTAAAATAAACTTGTATTGTTTATTTCTATATTTATTGGCAAACGTGAGCATTCGACACAAGAGTAGTGTTTGTTTTGAACACAATTCACACTTTCTTATCGCATTGCCGTGTGTCGTCGTTGCCATCCCCTCACGCCTCATCTTGCTGCATCATATTTTAGTTTTGATTGCAGGTATCGTGCCAAATGCAATTCGCGCTCAAAGTGCCGTCGACGCGCCGGCTTCGCGCATCTCTTGATTTCTTATCATAAACTGTCGCGTCGTTGCTTGCGCAGTTGGCGGCCAGTTTTGTGCCGGTCTCCGATTGATCGAGACGTATTCTACGCGACTCGTATTGTTTGTATTATATTTAATTTAATTTACTATTTGCGCGTTTATCGTCCGGCCGGTTTGTGATCGCGCGGCAAGTGTATATTGCAATTCACAATAGTTGCTAGGTGAATCAAATACATCATATATTGTATTTTTCTCCGATGTATGAATATATTATTATTAAATTTTATTAAATGTTTTAACTTCTTTTCTTTTAATTACAGCACTTCCTGTGCCCCAGTGACTAATGCGCACAAAAACTCGTAAGTTTACAATTCAATCAAAATTTTTGTTCCAATTTAAAACAAAACAAATCACAAACAATACAAATTTGAGCTGGGTATGTAGAGATATAGAATTAGATTCTCGGTCGGCTTGAACTTTTTTGTTGCAAGACTTTGACCTGCAACCCGCGAAAATTTGCATTAAAACGTGATTTTTTTCAACCTTGTTTTGTGAAATAGTTTTATTTTTTCGGGTTGGCACGCGATTTTTCTTAAGAATTAAAATTTCATCTCTCAGATATCCGCTTTAACTAGCCTATCTTATAGAGAATAGTCCGTAGATTAAGACGCTGCGATCAGATCTTAAATATCTCTTTTAGTTTACGAGATATTCGCAATTGAATAAAATGGACAAAAATTGCAAAATATCACTTTTTAGCACTTTTAGTCGCGTTTTTCGACCTTTTACTGTAGGAAATATAATTATTTTATATTTTTATCTGATAGAGAATTTTCCAGTCTTTCATAATCAACAATTTGTTGGTAGCTATCTCTTTTAGTTTAAGAGATATGAATTTTTGAAAATCGTACCCCCCCTTGGCAATTTTTTCTTAAGACTTAAAATTTCATCTCTCAGATTTCCTTTTAACTATCCTATCTGATAGAGATTGGTCCGTAGATTAAGACGCTGCGATCAGATCTTAAATATCTCTTTTAGTTTACGAGATATTCGCGATTGAATAAAATGGACAAAAATTGCAAAATATCACTTTTTAGCACTTTTAGTCGCGTTTTTCGACCTTTTACTGTAGGAAATATAATTATTTTATATTTTTATCTGATAGAGAATTTTCCAATCTTTCATAATCAACAATTCGTTGGTAGCTATATCTTTTAGTTTAAGAGATATGAATTTTTGAAAATCGTCGAAAAAAAGTATCAAGCACCCCCCCTTGGCAATTTTTTCTTAAGACTTAAAATTTCATCTCTCAGATTTCCCTTTTAACTGTCCTATCTGATAGAGATTGGTCCGTAGATTAAGACGCTGCGATCAGATCTTATTTATCTCTTTTAGTTTACGAGATATTCGCGATTGAATAAAATGGGCAAAAATTGATAAATGTCACTTTTTAGCACTTTTAGTCGCGTTTTTCGACCTTTTACTGTAGGAAATATAATTATTTTATATTTTTATCTGATAGAGAATTTTCCAATCTTTCATAATCAACAATTTGTTGGTAGCTATCTCTTTTAGTTTAAGAGATATGAATTTTTGAAAATCGTCGAAAAAAAGTATCAAGCACCCCCCCTTGGCAATTTTTTCTTAAGACTTAAAATTTCATCTCTCAGATTTCCCTTTTAACTATCCTATCTGATAGAGATTGGTCCGTAGATTAAGACGCTGCGATCAGATCTTATTTATCTCTTTTAGTTTACGAGATATTCGCGATTGAATAAAATGGGCAAAATTGCAAAATGTCACTTTTTAGCACTTTTAGTCGCGTTTTTCGACCTTTTACTGTAGGAAATATAATTATTTTATATTTTTATCTGATAGAGAATTTTCCAATCTTTCATAATCAACAATTTGTTGGTAGCTATCTCTTTTAGTTTAAGAGATATGAATTTTTGAAAATCGTCGAAAAAAAGTATCAAGCACCCCTTGGCAATTTTTTCTTAAGACTTAAAATTTCATCTCTCAGATTTCCCTTTTAACTATCCTATCTGATAGAGATTGGTCCGTAGATTAAGACGCTGCGATCAGATCTTAAATATCTCTTTTAGTTTACGAGATATTCGCGATTGAATAAAATGGGCAAAAATTGCAAAATGTCACTTTTTAGCACTTTTAGTCGCGTTTTTCGACCTTTTACTGCAGGAAATATAATTATTTTATATTTTTATCTGATAGAGAATTTTCCAATCTTTCATAATCAACAATTCGTTGGTAGCTATCTCTGTTAGTTTAAGAGATATGAATTTTTGAAAATCGTCGAAAAAAAGTATCAAGCACCCCCCCTTGGCAATTTTTTCTTAAGACTTAAAATTTCATCTCTCAGATTTCCCTTTTAACTATCCTATCTGATAGAGATTGGTCCGTAGATTAAGACGCTGCGATCAGATCTTATTTATCTCTTTTAGTTTACGAGATATTCGCGATTGAATAAAATGGGCAAAAATTGATAAATGTCACTTTTAGCACTTTTAGTCGCGTTTTTCGACCTTTACTGTAGGAAATATAATTATTTTATATTTTTATCTGATAGAGAATTTTCCAATCTTTCATAATCAACAATTCGTTGGTAGCTATCTCTTTTAGTTTAAGAGATATGAATTTTTGAAAATCGTCGAAAAAAAGTATCAAGCACCCCCTTGGCAATTTTTCTTAAGACTTAAAATTTCATCTCTCAGATTTCCCTTTTAACTATCCTATCTGATAGAGATTGGTCCGTAGATTAAGACGCTGCGATCAGATCTTATTTATCTCTTTTAGTTTACGAGATATTCGCGATTGAATAAAATGGGCAAAAATTGATAAATGTCACTTTTAGCACTTTTAGTCGCGTTTTTCGACCTTTACTGTAGGAAATATAATTATTTTATATTTTTATCTGATAGAGAATTTTCCAATCTTTCATAATCAACAATTCGTTGGTAGCTATCTCTTTTAGTTTAAGAGATATGAATTTTTGAAAATCGTCGAAAAAAAGTATCAAGCACCCCCCCTTGGCAATTTTTTCTTAAGACTTAAAATTTCATCTCTCAGATTTCCCTTTTAACTGTCCTATCTGATAGAGATTGGTCCGTAGATTAAGACGCTGCGATCAGATCTTAAATATCTCTTTTAGTTTACGAGATATTCGCGATTGAATAAAATGGGCAAAAATTGATAAATGTCACTTTTAGCACTTTTAGTCGCGTTTTAGACCTTTTACTGTAGGAAATATAATTTTTTATATTTTTATCTGATAGAGAATTTTACAATCTTTCATAATCAACAATTCGTTGGTAGCTATATCTTTTAGTTTAAGAGATATGAATTTTTGAAAATCGTCGAAAAAAGTATCAAGCACCCCCTATTTTTTCTTAAGACTTAAAATTTCATCTCTCAGATTTCCCTTTTAACTGTCCTATCTGATAGAGATTTTAGATTAAGACGCTGCGATCAGATCTCTCTTTTAGTTTACGAGATATTCGCGATTGAATAAAATGGGCAAAAATTGAAAAATGTCACTTTTTAGCACTTTTAGTCGCGTTTTTCATCCTTTTGCTATAGGAAATATAATTATTTTATATTTTTATCTGATAGAGAATTTTTTAGTCTTTCATAATCAGTAATTCGTTAGTTGCTATCCCTTTTAGTTTAAGAGATATTAGTTATCAAAAATCGGCAATTTGTTCTTAAGAATGAAAATTTTATCTCTCAGATTTCCGCTTTAACTCGCCTATCTTATAGAGTATAGTACGTAGATTAAGATGCTGCGATCAGATCTTAATTACCTCTTTTAGTTTACGAGATATTCGCGATTGAATAAAATGGTCAAAATTTGTAAAATGTCACTTTTTAACACTTTTAGTCGCGTTTTTCAACTTTTTGCTATAGGAAATATAATTATTTTATATTTTTATCTGATTACAGTATTATTTAGTATTGTTTTAAAAGCACAGATTGTTCATTTTGTGTTGATTGTTAATTCTAACATAATTCAAATGTATGAAATATATTTGTTTTAATTAATACTTTCGTTTAGTTTCAGCATTTGTTTTGCCTGGCAGTCCGATAAGCTGTACACTGGTACGTTTATAATTCATTCATATTTTTCAATTATTTAATTCTGTCTCTCTCTGTATTAAAATTTATTGCACGAAAATTCCGTAACGCGAGTTGTATTGAAATTTGTGTGTGTGCACCGTAGTACTCGTTGCGCTAGGAATTGTAGTTTTTTATTATAACACGCGAACGCGGTCTTAAACTAAGTTCAGAATAATTTGCCCAGATGCGGAATTTAATTCTTTATTTCCCTGTATTGAAATTTATTGCGAGAAAATTCCGTAACGCGAGTTATATTGATAGTTGTGTGTATACGCACTAGTACTCGTTGCGCTAGGAATTGTAGTTTTTATTGTAACACTCGAACGCGGTCTTAAACTAAGTTAGGAATAATTTTCCTAGATGCGGAATTTAATTCTTCATTTCCCTGTATTGAAATTTATTGCGCGAAAATTCCGTAACGCGAATTATATTGATAGTTGTGTGTATACGCACTAGTACTCGTTGCGCTATGAATTGTAGTTTTTTATTATAACACACGAACACGGTCCTAAACAACTTTCGGAATAATTTTCCCAGATGCGGAATTTAATTCTTTATTTTCCTGTATTGAAATTTATTGCGAGAAAGTTCCGTAATGCGAGTTATATTGATAGTTGTGTGTATACGCACTAGTACTCGTTGCGCTAGGAATTGTAGTTTTTATTATAACACTCGAACGCGGTCTTAAACTAAGTTAGGAATAATTTTCCTAGATGCGGAATTTAATTCTTCATTTCCCTGTATTGAAATTTATTGCGCGAAAATTCCGTAACGCGAATTATATTGATAGTTGTGTGTATACGCACTAGTACTCGTTGCGCTATGAATTGTAGTTTTTTATTATAACACACGAACACGGTCCTAAACAACTTTCGGAATAATTTTCCCAGATGCGGAATTTAATTCTTTATTTTCCTGTATTGAAATTTATTGCGAGAAAGTTCCGTAATGCGAGTTATATTGATAGTTGTGTGTATACGCACTAGTACTCGTGGCGCTAGGAATTGTAGTTTTTATTGTAACACTCGAACGCGGTCTTAAACTAAGTTAGGAATAATTTTCCTAGATGCGGAATTTAATTCTTCATTTCCTGTATTGAAATTTATTGCGCGAAAATTCCGTAACGCGAATTATATTGATAGTTGTGTGTATACGCACTAGTACTCGTTGCGCTATGAATTGTAGTTTTTTTTATTATAACACACGAACACGGTCCTAAACTACGTTCGGAATAATTTTCCCAGATGCGGAATTTAATTCTTTATTTCCCTGTATTGAAATTTATTGCGAGAAAGTTCCGTAATGCGAGTTATATTGATAGTTGTGAGTATACGCACAAGTACTCTTTGCGCTATGAATTGTAGTTTTTTATTATAACATGCGAACGCGGTCTTAAACTACGTTCGGAATAATTTTCTCAGATGCGGAATTTAATTCTTTATTTCCCTGTATTGAAATTTATTGCGAGAAAATTCTGTAACGCGAGTTATATTGATAGTTGTGTGTATACGCACTAGTACTCGATGCGCTAGGAATTGTAGTTTTTTTTAGCAAAACACGCGAACGCGGTGTCATTATAAGGTATAATTTGCCCAGATGTAGAATTTAATTCTGTATCTCTCTGTATTGAAATTTATTGCGAGAAATATCCATAACGCGAGTTATTGAAAGTTGTGTGTGTGTGTCGTAGTACTTGTTATGTATATTAAGAATTAGGGGTAGAAGTGACTCGTGTTCAGGGCACCGTACGAGGCTAGCGGTAAAAGTGACTCGTGTTTAGGGTACCCTACGAAGGTAGCGATTGAAGTGACTCGTGTTCAGGGCACCCTACGAAGGTAGCGGTTGAAGTGACTCGTGTTCAGGGCACCCTACGAAGGTATACTTATTTTGCCTATTTTAATACTTTCTTTTATAGAGATATTATTAGTTGCGGTGTTGTAAACATCAATTATTTAATTAACTAAAATATACAGTAAACTTATTCGAAGACAATTAGAAAATAATAAATTATTTATTTGTATTGGTACATTACAAATTCCTGTTTATCTTTATTCTTATTGCGTCACAAAACCAATATATTCTTTTCTTATGCCGAGAAATATTGAAAGTCAAAATAGATTTTGTATATTGTGAATTTTTACTTTCGTCTTCTCAACTACGTGTTTACCACTACGTTTGTGTATAAACAACTTTTTTGTTCGACTGACACTACGTACGCTATCGCTTATCGCTACGTACCTGCCTTGTACCTGGTTTCGCGCAGCGCACACGGCAGTCGATTCACCGCGTGGTCCGCGAACGCGTGTCTCTAATCGCCACGCGTTTTCAGACTTAAATTATTCAATTAATCATCGTGTATTCTTTTCGTCATCAGCAAAATATTCGAAACGAGCATGTGTGCCTGCTTTGTTTGATGAGTTGTGGCGGTTAGACTGTTCTTAAGTGCGAAATAAGTGTCCGTTAATCTCTCCGCGAGTTTTCAGTTAATCAGATTTATTTCTGGGTCTAAAATTTTTTCATCAATGCACTGGTAGGTGTTTAATCACTTTTTTTCACGGAAAGTTAAGACGGTTTAACTTAAATTGATTATTTCATTTGAGGGATATTAATTTTGCAGATTACAAACACATGGTAGCATTTTTATCAAAATTCTTAGTCCTGTCCCCGAAAATAACATGCATAATTTAATTATTACAAACACTGTCTTAAAAAGTATCTGAGGATTATTAAAATGACAATATTCATGTGGTCGACCACGCTCACTTTGCCGTCGACCGTCGGGTGGTTCCTCTTTTTGCTGAGCGAAATCGAATTACACTCCTTATCATCATTAAATTAAAAAGTTTCTTGTTGATCTAATAAAATCTTTTACGTTGAATAGTTTTTCGCTATAATAGTTTCCATATATCTTAATATTTGCAAGTAAATAGTTTTTATCGTATTTACATACGCTTGCCGTCTGCTGATTTGGATGTTTTCCGCCTGATGTTCTATCAATTTATGATGATGCTTCACCCGTTGGTTACCTTATGCAGTTGATGCTATCAACTGATAAATATATACACAATATATTAAAGTGTAAGTGTTTTATTCTTGTAGCAACTTTTTTACTTAACTTTTCCGATGAATTTCGTGTAAAATCTTTGAATTTATGTTAAAATATAGTTGTTTCGGTATAAATTTCTCTCGTCATGATGTGAATGTTGATCATATTTGTAGTTTTTAAAATTTTCCTTTTGTATCATCCTGTGTATATGTTTTCCTAACAGTACTTTAGTAAATAGCCTTTATTTGTGAGTTTTGAGTGTTCTTTGTTTTAAACTTGGGATTTTCCTTCTGGAACACTCTGTATATTAGCTTTTCTTTGTATCAGTGAAAACTTTCCTTCGGTTGTGGTTTTAGAGATTTTTTTTGCACTTTAAGTTTTTTTGTAACACCCTGTTTAATAGTTTCCCGGAGCATCGGGTGGAAATGAGCAATATTTGTAGTGTTTAGATGTTTTCCTTTTTGATGGTTGAATTTTCTATTTGTGACACCTTGTATAATAGTTTTCTTTCACATCTCTGAAAATTTTGTTTTGACTGTTATTAGAATTTAACTTCTTGCACTTTGAATTTACTTTTTGTAACGCCCTGTATATTTGTTTCCCAGAGTAACCTTGAAAACCAGCGATATTTGAGTGTTTAGATGTTTTCCTGTCTGCACTTAATTTTGTTTTGTAACACCCTGTATATTTGTTTCCATTTTCAATCACGAAAAAAATTGACTTTGCTAATTGCTTTATCCCTCTAGAACTTAACTAAGTGGTACGCGCTTGCTTGCGCGGCAAAGCAGGTCGTAAGTCCTGTTTCAATATGGCGGCATGAATTTTGTTGACTTGTAAAATCTATACTTGTATTATTTTACATTGTATTTATTAATAAAGAAAAATTAAAAATATTTTTACAAGTTCTTAAAAGGATGTCCTTATAAGGAGTTCCCTTTCTCTGGGGATGATCCCCCACCATAAAAATTGTTGATATGCCTGATAATTCTGGGGATGAAGCGCAGAGACATCGTAGCTGTAGGATGGGCCGGGAGCAATGGACGCACCGAAGCAGTGGACTGTCTTATAACGACACGTGCCAAAAAATTTAAAAATCTCATCCACTCCTGTTCTCTTTCTTCTATCTCCTCCTCTTCTCTACTCTACTCTCTGTTCTCTTCCTTCCATCTTCTCCTTATTCTCTACTACTCATTCTTCTATTTCTCTGTTCTCCCGTTCTCCTTTTACTTTCTTATTTCTCGTGTTGCCTTAACTTATATTTCAATTTCTCTTATATTTCGTTGCAATTCATATATGCAACCCAAATTACACCAGATATTTTAATATTTGAGAAAAATGCCTTCTGTACCTGAGATTCGATCCGTGTCTGCTAGCATGCCAACAGGTGCACGTCTCCACTCGACCACCGAGTGTTTTTATTATTGTTATTTGATTCTTCTATATATGTTTCTGTTTTTCTTATGTTTTTAAAAACAACAACACAATCCAAGCAACAGCAATGCATTGCACACGCTTCACGCACATAAGATTTATATACTATATGATTTAAGACACCGATACTGAAAGCAACAAAGGGGACGCAACAAAGAACTAAGAATTAGTTTATAACATTACAATGTGTTTTATTGACAATATTTAAAATACATTTATCTTTCAAATAAAATAAAAACATTGAGGAATCTCAAATCTCGTAGCAATAAAGACTTACCTTAAAATGTGCGCATCTCCAATACTTCTTTTATGGATATCACAGATTCCATGACTGCCATAATCAAGAACTGGGCACCAACGATGTCTATCAGCAGGAATTAATAATAAATCCAAGTTTTGCCAATATGCGAGAAGATAAACGACTGCCGATGAACACGCACGTGGCACACATAAGACCAACACCGTTGCAGATAATTCCACAACCAAATAATACATAGCGACGGCCGACGGAACATTCCAAGCGCACAGGCGTACAGGTTGCGCCACATTAGCCTGTTACGAAAGACCGATGAAGGCAATTACAGAATTAAAGTAAGAAATGCGAAAAGTCGCACGAAGATCGACTGACGAACAAAACACGTGTTAACTGTAGAACAGCGCGCGATCGACTAAACTGAAAAGAGAATTGCTATCAGGCATAAACAAAGCAGATAGCAAAAAACGCTCCCAGTGAAAATACATTTATAAGTTAAAAATTTACGACTTGTTTCGACTTGTAGCAAGCAAATATAAGTGCCGATTCTGAACCGGATGCCATAAAAAGTGTCATATTGTAGTTAATGATAAACGCTATTTGCGACACATGACAACACGTCCATAGCAGTAAATGGCTACCTAATAAACTTGTTGATGAGATGTAAAATGTTATTTTGAATTGACTATTTACAGTGCTGTACTTCAATGCTGCACTTAACAAAGCAAAGAGTAAATGCAAACTAACAATTTGCACTTGATAATCAAATTTATCAGGTAGTCATGCATTCATAGGAACACTGCTTTCATGTGCATTAAATGACATTTAACACTAACTGCAACATGACGGTATCGAATCAAAACATAACACACATTAATTTGACAATACAAATTTGTGCAATATATCTACAGACTAAAACAAGTTTAAAATTATTGTAGCATTTTGTGCACAGAATCAAAATCAGCCGAATTCTGTTCATTTTAGTCCAAATTAAATTTATAACTAAAGTTTTATGTTGCTTATCTCAGTCAAACTAAAGAATAACTAAAGCTTAAAATATAGAATAAAATATAAATATAAAGTAAAGATTTCGTCGGGTGCTTTTTTTTATATAATTCAATTTTATACCCGGAGTAGAATTGAATATAACTATAGTAAAAACAATGCAATGTAACTTATATCGCAAGGCAATGCAATATGACATGTTACGCAATAGCATTACAATCTAACATATATTGCAACAACAATTTGTAATGAAATCTTGGGCTGCATTTTGAAATAAAGTGCGTGGTAAATCTAAATTTGCCAGCAGCATTAAATTTTCAATCAAGTTTCAATATTATATAAACAAATATTCTTAAAAGCGCAGGTAACAATTCTTTAGTTCTTGTTCAGTTTCGTCGAGTCTTATCCTGCACAATTGGTTGGATTTTGGACCTGGTTTCACATCTCTGACAAATCAAGTCAAGAAGTACTTGGTCTTTCTTTTTTCCCATGCTTCAGAGGCAGCGTTCGGTAGGTTCATCCTCGGTGCTGCTTTTCATGAACGACGCCGCGTTAAACCTAAAATATACACATTATTAGAATGAAACGTATGCATATTTTTAGTCTTTCGTGATATGAAATGCCCCAAAGTATATGAAAAATCATATCAAAAATAAAATATTACATAAGATTACTTACATTTTGGGAAAAATCAGGCAGTGTCCTGAGAACACGTTGTAAAGAAACCTAAAGATGCTTTCTTTTACGGCTTGTTATATTTTCGACAAAACTCTCTCCAATACAAGGCGATAAATCATTTTCTCCGGTACCATAATCTGCGTAAAAAAATTAGAAAAACATTAAATTCTACCACTTACAATTTGAAACAAGTCCGAAAATCCTAGTGCGTTCTGAAGAAACCAAAAGATGCTTATTGTTATGAACTGCTACTGATTTTCAATAAAAACTTCATAGGATAATAAGTGCGGTAGGCCCGTGCAGATTAATAGGCCGTTTCCACATCCACCTGAGGTGAAAACAAAACTACGTTAGCATAACAACGAACAAGGAGTAATTCAAACAATTTACATCTAATTTACTCACCTTGGTACTGCTTCTTACGGCAAAGTAGACTAGAATCCGAAAATGAATTTAACAGCCCCTCTTTAAAAACGGTTCTGATGTTCTTAAGAGGTCGCTCCCAAGAACTATGAGAAAAGAGAATTAAATACCTTACTAAAACAATTTTTCTATACACAACTATACAAGAAAAATTGTGAGAGAAGAGATAAATCTTTATTTTATGTTAAATTATGCAAACACACATAAAAGTATCACACACGTGTTTAGCGGGTTGTTTATAGTAGTATTTTTTATGTACAAGGCCTATCTGATAGAAATTGGTCTGTAGATTAAGACGCTGCGATCAGATCTTAATTATCTCTTTTAGTTTACGAGATATTCGCGATTGAATAAAATGGGCAAAAATTGCAAAATGTCACTTTTTTAGCACTTTTAGTCGCGTTTTTCGACCTTTTACTGTAGGAAATATAATTATTTTATATTTTCGTCTGATAGAGAATCTTCCAATCTTTCATAATCAACAATTCGTTAGTAGCTATCTCTTTTAGTTTAAGAGATATGAATTTTTGCAAATCGTCGAAAAAAAGTATCAAGCACCCCCTTGGCAATTTTTCTTAAGACTTAAAATTTCATCTCTCAGATTTCCACTTTAAATAGCCTATCTGATAGAGATTGGTCTGTAGATTAAGACGCTGCGATCAGATCTTAATTATCTCTTTTACGATTGAATAAAATGGGCAAAAATTGCAAAATGTCACTTTTTAGCACTTTTAGTCGCGTTTTTCGACCTTTTACTGTAGGAAATATAATTATTTTATATTTTCGTCTGATAGAGAATCTTCCAATCTTTCATAATCAACAATTCGTTAGTAGCTATCTCTTTTAGTTTAAGAGATATGAATTTTTGAAAATCGTCGAAAAAAAGTATCAAGCACCCCCTTGGCAATTTTTCTTAAGACTTAAAATTTCATCTCTCAGATTTCCACTTTAAATAGCCTATCTGATAGAGATTGGTCTGTAGATTAAGACGCTGCGATCAGATCTTAATTATCTCTTTTAGTTTACGAGATATTCGCGATTGAATAAAATGGGCAAAAATTGCAAAATGTCACTTTTTAGCACTTTTAGTCGCGTTTTTCGACCTTTACTGTAGGAAATATAATTATTTTATATTTTCGTCTGATAGAGAATCTTCCAATCTTTCATAATCAACAATTCGTTAGTAGCTATCTCTTTTAGTTTAAGAGATATGAATTTTTGAAAATCGTCGAAAAAAAGTATCAAGCACCCCCCCTTGGCAATTTTTTCTTAAGACTTAAAATTTCATCTCTCAGATTTCCACTTTAAATAGCCTATCTGATAGAGATTGGTCTGTAGATTAAGACGCTGCGATCAGATCTTAATTATCTCTTTTAGTTTACGAGATATTCGCGATTGAATAAAATGGGCAAAAATTGCAAAATGTCACTTTTTAGCACTTTTAGTCGCGTTTTTCGACCTTTTACTGTAGGAAATATAATTATTTTATATTTTTGTCTGATAGAGAATCTTCTAATCTTTCATAATCAACAATTCGTTAGTAGCTATCTCTTTTAGTTTAAGAGATATGAATTTTTGAAAATCGTCGAAAAAAAGTATCAAGCACCCCCCCTTGGCAATTTTTTCTTAAGACTTAAAATTTCTTCTCTCAAATTTCCCTTTTAACTATCCTATCTGATAGAGATTGGTCCGTAGATTAAGACGCTGCGATCAGATCTTATTTATCTCTTTTAGTTTACGAGATATTCGCGATTGAATAAAATGGGCAAAATTGCAAAATGTCCAGTGGCGGATTACGGCCTAGGCGCACTAGGCGCGCGCCTAGGGCCCCGGCTGCCTGGGGGGCCCCGGTTGCCTGAGGGGCCCCTGGCACTTATATGTCCCATATAGACATAGTAATTCCACAAATACTTCATCAGTTGGTTTTGACCTCAGCCTTTATGAATAGCGTATTGGTTTTCACTTGGCGCCCAAAACGGCATTTCACACGTGTCCGCAAAGCAACCGTCACGGTTATATAGCTGACTTAAAACTTTTTATCTCCGATTTTATTTCTTTATGACAAACTGTTTAAAATAAAATTTTGATGTTTTCTGCCACGAATTTTTGTGACCTTTTCTTGAATATTGCATTAGAAAGTTGTAGCTATAATGCGAGTAGTATATTGCCAATTTTTTTAAATTTCGAACATCTGTGGAGGAGATGAGTTGAGGAATATTCCATTGAGGTTGTAAAATAGCGGGTAACTCTCTTTTTTGGAATATTAATTATTTCGTCTTTCTATTATTTTTTCACATCATTTTTTTATGGCTTAGATATCACAAACTGTAGGGGCCAATCTTATGATAACGCTGCTAACATGTCTGGCAAGTACAGTGGATTACAGGCACGCATAAAACAACATTCCAAATCAACTGAATTCATACCATGTGGAAGTCATTCTTTAAATTTGGCTGGGAATACTGCAGCGGAATCTTGTTCTGGAGCATTACAGTATTTTATGTTTATGCAAAATATATATATTTTCTTTGCTGCATCAACAAGACGGTGGAATATTTTAACCGAATGCATGAAAGATAAGAATTCTAAAAGTATCAAGAGAATAATTGATATACGATGGTCCGCAAGAGCTGACGCTGTTTTAGCCCTAAGACTAAATTATCATGACATTTACCAATCCTTGATAAAGGTAACCACAGATTCCAATGAAAAACCAATTTCAAAATTAGAAGCAAAAAAATTATCAAAAGAGTTCAATCAATTTGAGACGGCACTGTTAACAATTTTCTGGAACAAACTCCTACAGAGAATCGAAATTACCAGCAAATACTTACAGGAACCAAAGACAAATATTCTTAATAGTGTTAGTTTATTAAAATCATTAAACGAATTTATAACAGAGGTCAGAAATAATTTTGAAACTGTTGAAGAGGAGGCTAAATCTCTAACAGCTCATCATTCTTATAAAGAGATGAGACAAAGAAAACGCAAATATCCATATGATGAAACGAACAAAAATGATACAGCATTTTCGTCAAGAAATTTTTTTATTGTCAACATTTTTTATATTGTATGTGATGTATTAACATCAGAAATTACTCGAAGGGGCGATGTCTATATCAATGTTCTTAACGATTTTAAAATTTTCTTTGATTTAAAATTAAGCCGTGTTGAGACTAATAATTGTGTAGAGCGATTATTGTCTAAGTATGAAAAAGATATTGAGCCAGAATATTTCACTGATGAGTTAACTCATTTTCTAAAATACATACAAGAAGAAAATATTAGAGATCCATATGAAATGTATGCAACATTAAGTAATGGTCTAAAATCAACTTTTCCAAATATACACACAATACTGCAAATTTTTTTGACCTTGCCCGTTTCTAATGCAAGTGGAGAAAGGACATTTTCAGTTTTAAAACGAGTCAAAAACTATCTGCGCAATAGTCTTTCACAAGAGCACTTAAATGACTTCGCATTAATGTTCATAGAAAATGATATTTTTAAAAAACTAGAGTACGACAAAATTATTGAAATCTTTGCCCAAGAGAAGGCAAGAAAAGTAAATTTGTAATTTGTATTTAAATACGATTACCGTTTTGAGCACACGTACGATGAACTCGAGAACCAAGATAGCATTGAAAACGATAATCCCATCGCGGATAGTATGGCAGAAAATTTTACCTGTGATATTTCGATCGGTCCTGAAAACAATTAACGCACAACACCTGGTCCATCGCGAAGAGCGAATCGGAAGATAATCCATTAAATTTTGGAATAGTGCGTGTGGATTAGGCCTACTGGGGATACCACGATAAAAAAACGCGCCACGTACTCTACCTCAAGGTGGTGTGGAAATGAGTTTTGGCACAAACGAATGTTGAAGTAGACTTTGCGGCGCCCGTACGCTAAAACTATTAATTTTACTGGGCTAATAACCGTTTTGAAAATTTTCGGATTTAGGGGCCCCAAACTTGATTTGCGCCTAGGGCCCCACTGAAGCATAATCCGCCACTGGAAATATCATTAAAATCGCACACACGGTTCCCGAGATACAGCCAAATTTCCACCGAGTGTTATGAAAATTCACACTAGTCGTAAAAGTTTGAGAGCGATTTTAAGGCATTTCTAGCGTGATTTCGGGGGCGGCAACGTCGCATCTTATAATATGCCTATCGCTTTATCTAAATTTGAAAATATCACTAAAATCGCACTTACGGTTCCCGATATACAGCCAAATTTCCACCGAGTGTTTCGAAAATTCACGCAAATAGTAAAAGTTTAATAGCGATTTTAAGGCATTTCTAGCGTGATTTTTGGGGGCGGCAACTTCGCATTTTATAAAATGCCTATCGCTTTATCTAAATTTGGAAATATCATTAAAATCGCACAAACAGTTCCCGAGATACAGCCAAATTTCCACCGAGTATTTAGAAAATTCACGCAAATAGTAAATGTTTAAGAGTGATTTTAAGGCATTTCTAGCGTTATTTCTGGGGGCGGCAACATCGCATCGTATAAAATGCTTATCGCTTTATCTAAATTTAAAAATTTCATTAAAATCGCACGAACAGTTCCCGAGATACAGCCAAATTTCCACCGAGTGTTTAGAAAATTCACGCAAATAGTAAATGTTTAAGAGCGATTTTAAGGCATTTCTAGCGTGATTTTTGGGGGCGGCAACGTCGCATCGTATAAAATGCCTATCGCTTTATCTAAATTTGGAAATATCATTAAAATCGAACACACGATTCCCGAGATACAGCCAAATTTCCACCGAGTGTTATGAAAATTCACACTAGTCGTAAAAGTTTGAGAGCGATTTTAAGGCATTTCTAGCGTGATTTCGGGGGGCGGCAACATCGCATCGTATAAAATGCCTATCGCTTTATCTAAATTTGAAAATATCACTAAAATCGAACTTACGGTTCCCGAGATACAGCCAAATTTCCACCGAGTGTTTAGAAAATTCACGCAAATAATAAAAGTTTAAGAGCGATTTTAAGGCATTTCTAGCTTGATTTTTGGGGGCGGCAACGTCGCATCTTATAAAATGCTTATCGCTTTATCTAAATTCGGAAATATCATTAAAATCGCACAAACGGTTCCCGAGATACAGCCAAATTTCCACCGAGTGTTAGGAAAATTCACACAAATCGTAAAAGTTTAAAAGCGATTTCAAGGCATTTCTAGCATGATTTCAGGGGGTGGCTACGTCGCCTCGGATAAAATGCCTATCGCTTTACCTAAATTTCAAAAGATAATTAAAATCGCACAAACGGTTCCTGAGATACGGCCAAATTTCCACCGAGTTTTGGGAAAATTCACACAAATAGTAAAAGTTTGAGAGCGATTTTAAGGCATTTCTAAAGTTATTTCAGAGGGCGACAATGTCGCATCGTATAAAATGCCTACCGCTTTACCTAAATTTCTAAAGATCATTAAAATCGCACAAACGGTTCCTGAGATACAGCCAAATTTCCACGGAGTTTTAGGAAAATTCACACAACTAGTAAAAGTTTGAGAACGATTTTAAGGCATTTCTAGCGTGATTTCGGGGGCGGCTACGTGAATTATATCATATTGCAACACTGGCGTAGGTTGAGATAAATAAAAACTATTGATTTGTAAACAAAGGTTTGATACGTAATTTTCACGAAAAGTCTAACTACATTATAACTTACCAATGGATTTTCCATCAACTGCTAAGACATGGCGTACACTGTAATTAGAAAGAAGTTACGTTAGAAAATTCCATTGGATATAAAAATAATGTAATGAAATTACATTCACAAATCGGAGACCCACAACTTGAAACACAACCCGAATCTACCTACTTAAAATGTTCAGATTTATCTTACTTACCAAGTCACGGAGAGTCCTCCTGATGAAGAAAATCAACATGACTGCGAGAAATGTCCAATTCATCCCGGGACCGAAATTTAATAAACCACAATTCGCAAGACCCTGAAAAGCAGGGTGTTAGGCACACGGCAATATTCAGAATTGCAACACGAGCATTAAATAAATGAGCCGTTTATTTTGAAAGTGACCTAACTCCGTTTTTCAATTTTTGCCGGTTACCATGGTTACATGTACAACTTCATGTTATTTATCAGTGACGCACTTCAGATTGCTTATATTCAGAGAAAATACGGTACATTTTTACACATAGGTTTTCCGAATTAATTGAATAACTGACCCGTGTGGTTTGAAAGTGGCCTAACTCCATTTATAGTTACATCAAGGTATTTACTATTGATAATGTCGGAAAGCAGCGATGAAGGTAATTTCAATTAATTAGTATTTACAAGTCCACCTCATTTTGGGACAATTGCGTTAGTTAATTAACCTGTACGTTTAATTAATATAAAACTTAAAATTTAATATTAAATTATAGAAATTATTGCACCCATGAGGAAGAACCGAAGAAGACCACTTAGTTCAGATAGTGAAAAAGAAATAGTAATTAATAAAAAAAAAGCGAATAAGAAAAAGAGTTATAAAACAATATTCCTCGTCAGAGGATGAAGATTCAAATAACAATGGAGAAAAGATTGATGCACCATATATCCAAAAAGTGCGAAAGATAAAACGGAATTCAGGAAAAAGATATTGCAGTTAAACCGGAAGTATTGTTCATGAAAAAAATTTCGAAAACAAAGATTGTGGTTGTCGGAATGCGTGCACAAAAAATTATAATGAAGAAGAAAGAAAGAATATTTTTGAGAAGTTTTGGGGTTTGGCAGATTTTAACAAACAAAATGTATTACTTCACGAAGCTGTCTGTGAAACGAAGACGTTTTTTTTCTTCAATTTGAAACATCTTAAATTATGTTGAATGGACTTGGGCATCTTCAAATTTTATAATGAATCTGGCTGTTAATTTTGAAAGTGGCCCAACTCCATTCTTGATAAGGAAACGCACGTTATTTACTTAATAATTGCCACTATTTTAACAGGAACTTTAAATTTAACATCCTAAGATACGCTTAAGCAGTATGACTCCTTTGTATCTTATACGTATATTTTTAAATTCATTGAAACGCAAAACTTTCAATATCTCGATTTGAAGATAAATGGAGTTAGGCCACTTTCAAAATAAGCGGCTCAAATATTTCGTCTTGTTTCTTAATTAAATTTTAAAATATTAATATATTTTCTTATGCATTCTGTGCGACCTCTCTTGGAAAAACTTTCGTAATATTCATCTCGACTTTGGCCGCAATCACATCGATAAACTCATTGGTAGTGATAAAATCACTTTCCTTGATATTGTGTCCTTTAACGCAGAGAGCCAGATCCTTAGTGAGATTTCCTTCTTCGATCGCTCTGAGAGAACATTGCTCCAACAGCTCAGTAAATTCCAACAAGTCATAGTTGCAGTCTAATTTTGCGCGATGCTGCAAACCGCGTGTCCACGCAAATATAGACGAGATCGGATTTGTTGATGTTTGTTTACCTTTAAGATGCCGTCTGAAATAAAATAAAATGCAACATGAATTGATATAACTTCAATATACATTTGACTTTGGTTCCGTACAAAGTGATAAATTGACTTGTTTATATTCTTAAATGTAAATGTTATGAAAAAACTCAAAACAAGTCACGAAATCACGAGACGAATAAATTTCTTGTCGAGTTTTACATTGTAGAGTATCATGGTATGCAACCCATCTAACACATTCCGTTCTATTTATTAGTTTAAATTACTTTAAGGAAATAAACTTACTTGTAATGTTTAGTAATACTACCATGAGCTGGTTCAGTTAAAATTGTCTTTCCATCATGCGATTTCAAACTGTGCATCATCATCGCCATCGATCCAAACCCTTGACCGATAATATCACTTAAAACATCACCGTCGTAACTCTTCAATGCCCAGACGAAACCACCACGAGATTTGATCGCAGCTGCGCACATGTCATCAATTAACTTGTGTTCATAAGTCAATTTGACTTTATCAAACAATCTTTTATACTTGCTACAAAACAAAATACAAAAAACATTAACAAAACCTAAAAAATCAAAAATTTACCAATAATACCTCTCATATAAATGCTGGAAAACATCATAAAACATCGTATCATATTTTTTGAGATGCGTATACTTTGACGCAAAGAACAGCGGCATTTTACGCTCCAACGCCGTGTGGAAACAACTCTCGGCGAAATTCTTAATACTATCGTAGTGATTGAAGGTTAACATCGCGATGCCTGGGCCTTTGAAGGAATGCACTTCGTATTTGTATTCCTCACCGTCTGTTGTTTCATAAACAATGGAAACCTAAGTAGAAAAAATAATTATAAGGAAATATGTTTGTGGGCGTTTGTTTTTGTTTTTAGTCGTACTTTTCCTGGTTTGGTAATATTAATATCTGTGCCAGCATATTGATCGCCGAACGTGTGTCGGCAGATAATTATCGGGTCCGTCCATTTATTAACGAACTTGTTGATGTTGTTGCAAATGATCGGCTCGCGGAATTGCGTTCCATTCAAAGCGTTTCGGATCATCGTATTTGGGCTGGGCCACATTTTCTTTAAATTGTATTCTAAAATTAAACAAAAACATAATTAATTAATGCATTTTACATGTGAAATTGAATTTTACATTATGGCTCATGAAAAAATTTATAAGTGGTCTTTTTATTCACACGAAAAACTTATAATTTTCTTGGTACAATCTGTATATATTTATAAAAATAAATATGTGTATGTATGTATCTATTTAACTCCAAAACGAGAGAACCGATTTTAATGAAATTTTCAGGTAATCTTTATTTTATGATAGTGGATGATCCTGTGAAGTTTGGTAACTAAAATATAATTTACAAGATGTAAAATAAGAGTTGAAAGTTGCTATGGACAATTAATCATAGTTATAGTTATATAATTCAAATCTAGATGGCGTTATGATGAACATATATGCATGAAATTCGAAAAACACGGTTTTAAAAATAATTTGCAAAAATTATCTTGACACCCGGTAAATATCGCGTTTTTATGATGCGGAATATTTTTTGAATAATTTATTCAAAAACTACGCCTATGTTATAAATTACGCATTAATTACACCTATATGACGCCATAATAGTAATAATATACAAAGTACACTAAAAAACCAAAACTTTTTAGTCGTTTCCTGATTGTTCTCTAAAATAAATGTTTGTGTATCTACATGCAAAAAAAAAACAACAAATTTACATAAACAAATGCGCATCGAGACCAAAGTTTATAATGAGTTGGTATTTTAAGCGCAAACGTTCACGAATGTTATAAATATTGCGTCACATAGAACGCAAAAAGTATGAATTCATTTAGATTCCAATAACCGGAATGTTCAAGTTGAACATTTATAAAATTTTAATTAAACATTCGAATTCATCGCGTTATCACGTTGAATCAAACATGTTTTTTTTTTAATTTCTCGTGTAGATAATGATATGTGAAAAAATTATATAATATCTGCATGTATAGTAAAAATATACATGTGAATTATCACCCATTCAAATTTAAAGCATTAAAATTTAATAACGAAGTTAATTATCCGATGATAACAAGTAATATCAATGTTTTGCATATAGTTAGGTCAAGAAGTTCATTAAAATTATTTATAATCCGATGTATGCACGAAAATAAATGATTAAAATGAAAATAACCATTTTAGTAGTTAAAAAGATAATTAAATTATATGCAACACAATATACATCCGGTTAAATTTAATAAAATTTTAATATTTTGTACTTTACTCACTGTAGACTAACAAATAATGAATGTTTATTTGCATAAAAGATAAAGATGTAAAGGTTGAAAGTAGAACAAATAGATTTATCGTCTTATCGCTTAGTGGAAGATTAAAAGAAGTCTTCGAATGCGGGCCAGACCTCCTTCCTCATCATGATGCGTCCCTCATGCTTTTCTATTTATAGAAACGCGAGGCGACGGCCCGCGGCGCATGCAAAACTTCAATTGCGCTCAACAACTCCGTGCGACTCTTGCAACTACTATACCTATGCGATAAGTACAATGATCCCTCGATTTTTCAAACGTTAGAACCAGTCCCACAAGACTCAAAAGTATGAATATACCAAGTGTTTAGCGAAAAACTAAACAATTATAACCTCAAAACTTGAGTAAAATATGCAATAAAACGTTTATGAATGAATGAATGAAGTAGAGACAATGAAAGTGAATGCGCGTACCGTGTACTCGTACGTGATCTTGAGCACACGCGAGAATATTTTTTAGGTCGAGTGCATTTTTCATTCGAAGCTTAGCGCATTCGAATGGAGAAAATATTAATAAATAACGATTAGAAATCTTGATTTTGACAGGTCATAAGCTGAAAAACTCACCTTTTGATTTCTCTTCGTTGGGTGTAATTGTAGAGCATTTTATTCCGACGTTGTGTTTCAGAATTGCTTCGGTTGCTTCAACGACAACTTCATTATTGGTTTTATTTCTTTAAAAACAAAAAAATTTAAATTAAAAAAAAACAAATTGAATAATTTAATTAAACAAAACAAAATTTTACCTATTAATTAAACTACAGTCGTAATAATCTCTCTCCAAATTCAAATATGGAATAATCAATCGCTGTTTGATTTTGTCAAAAATAATTTTGGACATTTCATCGCCACCAATCTCCACAATCGGTTTCTGAACGATTATTTTCGTCTTTGTTGTTGTGTCTAAATAAAAAATTAATTATTTCAAACAAAAATTTAATTTTTTCATTAATACTTACAATTTCTATGTTGATTTTGATGATTTTGTATTAAATTCACATCACTGAATAAAACTTTAACTTCCTTGAAGTTATTTGTAGATAAAATTTTACTTGTTGCTCTTGAAAGCACCATTTTATTGTGCTTATTTATTTTATTTTATATTAATATTATAATATTTTTGATTTATTAAACCACTGCTCACTGAAAGTTTAATTTTATTCTGCGCGTTGTGACCCGACGCGATCGCGATGCTTAATTGAAATGAAATTGAAGCGGCTTGCAAACACTTGCTGACCGCGTGCGCGCACGATGGGACATAACAAAGCGGCGTGCAAGACGCGTGTGTGCAACGCGCATTCGAATGAATAAATGAATAAAATCACCGCGCTGCGCGAGCGCGAGGAGCTTACGAGTGTTACAAGCGCAAGTTGACTTATTTAACTACACACGAACGGCGCATCAGGCTCAGGTTTTCGTTAGTAGGGTAGGGTGGATGTGGATGTACGAGTTGTGAGATGAAAAAATCGAATGACGCTTTGCTTTTAATAGTCTGTTAGTATTTAAGCACTATATGTATGAGTATAGTACTACTACATGTGTAGTACTAGTGAGTAAGTGAGTAAAGTGTAGTGAACTTTAAACGGGCAGTAACTGTAACAAGTGACGAGCAACAAGTTGCATTAGCTTAATATTTTCATTATCCTCAAGTACGTCGATGTTGATGTTGATGTCGTATTGTGCAGCTGTGATGCGCTGTGTGTGCGTCTACGATGATTTATCGGTTTAGTTTATATTAGATCTGAAACTTACATTGAGCAACAACATTGAGAACATTTTTCGAGTAAAACGTTAAAATCGAAGTTTTAAAATAATGTTACACTTTTTATTATTATTTTAAAGTTTCTATTTAATGGCACAGCTTAAAAAGTAATAAAGGCACTGAGCATGAAATATTAACAATTTTATACATTTTAAAACGAATTAAATCGGATTTTTTATTGTCAAAGTACGATATCGTGTGTTACGTATGATTCAATGTTTTACGAGTATGAAAATTAAATCGTTGATTATTCGGGTATTTACGTCATTCTTGTGTTTGTGTGATAAAATTCCAAAACTTTGGTTATATCACCTTTACGCATTAAAAATGGCAACCTTGTACACTTGACAGTTCACAAACAAATGAACACAAGTTGGTGAGGGCGCTGTGCACGTTAAACGAGTTTCCAGGTTAGAATTTCACAAAAAATGAAAATTCTCTTTATATTCAATATAAATTGATAGTCTCTTGAATTTAAAATAAAACGCACTAGATTTTTGACCCCTACTACAAATAGTAAACATGCACTATTATTACTATCACTATCAATGTTTATTAGCTCATAAAACATTGGTTTCCTTATATATAAATTATATTTGTATAATAAATTCATCATTAATATTATTATACAAATTAAATGGTCTCTGTTTCATTACAAATATATACCTCGACCTACTCGTACTTAATATGTTTAACTTGGCAATGGTAACATTTTTTTTTTAAATGATCATCTCACATATCGATTGTAGTAATCTTTAAATGTGTCCCAGAACATTAACGTGAGAACCGTATGCGGTCCCAAGCGGAAATAACACGCTCCGAAACCTTTGTAAAACGCTAACGCACCTTCGGCATTGTGAATTTTCCTTACGCAATCGAAATATCCCTGATAAAGAAGGCCTTTCCCGTTTTTATCAACACCTACAATCAGAAATAATAACAATGATATTATAATAAGTCATTCAATAAAAAGACAAAGATATAATTTTTTAAATTAAAATGAGTCATATGAAGTTTTATGACCGAAACGATAAAATGAAAATAAAAGTGTAAACTTTCATTGAAAAAGCAGACTGTAAACAATAAACAAATTTAACTACCACAACGTGTCAATGCCACACGTATTGTTTAAATTATCAGTAATTTAAATTTAAATAATTATTTATATTAATACAAATCCATTATTACGTCTTAGATAAGACTCAATTTTCAATATGGCGTCGCAAGTTTTCATTTTCATTTTCACTTGTTTTGTGCAGAATACAACTCGCTAGCCTTGTTAAACGACCCAGAATAAAAGTGCATTGCAGTCACAAATGCAGTAAGGTAATAATAAGGTAATAAAGAGTATTGAACAGCTCACCTTGATTGTACAGCCGCGTCGAGATGAGGTCAAACGGCGTCATGGCGAACGCGGTGATGACGCCGCCGACCATACTCGCCGCAAACGCGATCGTAATAGGTCGATCTTTGAACGCCGCGTGTTTGGCAAGCATCTGCTTGCAGTACGCAAACGACGTCAACTGTGCCATAGAACCACAACATGCGCGAGGCAGAGATGACGTCGACCCACGGAATAATCCCCTAACCTAAAACAAGCAGATGGCGTTAGTAGTAATATATGTGACATTGGGAGCAGCGCACGATAGCGACACCTGTCGTCAATGTAGCAAAACACAAAAGCCGAAGATACTTAATCTATTTGGTTGAGATAATAAACGACAGGTGGCGCTATCGTACACTGTCAATTTAAACTGACAGTTTAGTTGTAACTTACACCGCCATCTTTCCAAATCGTCCGAAACGCATGAATCATCCCTGTATGTTGATGTTGATGTCCAAATGCAATTTCACTAGCTGCTCGTGCTTGCAGATGTGTTTTAATAAGATAAAGAGGACTGCCGAGGAACGCCCCTGTGGCTCCACACAACCCACCCGCAACTACATTCCGATAGAATATAATTTGTCCGTTGTCGTCTCGAATTAACCCACTGTTGTCGATAACTTGATAGCTACCCAACCGGAAGCCATTGAGACAAAGTTGAAACCACAGCGCAGGCGCAAGTCCCGCTTGTAGTGCTAGTATCCCATCATGTTTGGCGATTACATAGCCGGCATGGAAGACATGACGATAATGAACAGCATGTTTACCACGTGCGTGCAACTCGCCCTGAAGTTGCATACGCACTTTCATCACTTCCAGTGGATTAGTAAAAAGGCCGGCACATACTGCCGCTGAGCCCGCAAGGGCGTATTCGGCGATGTCAAACTGTAACTGGAGGGCAACCGTTTGTACATTTAGAATTAGATTATAGATGGCGCGATATTCAATCAAAACAATTATGTATCCGCCCCTTTGAAACCCCAAGCGGCACAATGCCGCACTATATTTTGTATTAGATTTTATTTAACTCGTGTTACTAACATGATCATGAATCGTTTCAAGGTTGACTCAATCGAGTTCAACTTTTTGTTTGTTAATTTACTCACGTTTTGCTTTGGATTGGGAACATTCCGAGGCAGATTTTGATGAACTGTGGTCATTCTGATGGTTATCACTCGCACACAAACTGTTTGTGATTATCTTATCGTTGGTTTTCCGCTGTTTTATTTACTCATACGTCATTACAACGCGTGTTACATCAGCGGGCACGTTACCAACACGCGGCGGTTCAAATTCATCTTAAATCGTATTTCGGAAAACGTGTTCGCACGACGCGGCCAAAAATAAAAGTTAACTCGCGCGCTTACTGACGAACGTGATTTGCAAATATCGTTGGTGTGCATGTATAATTTAAGATAGAAAATGACAATGGCAATGAAAGTTAATAGAAACACTTTACAGTCGCATTATGTAATTGGAATCATTTGTAGTATAACGAGTGTATCACATTTGATTAAAAAACGAAATCAAAAATTACAGAAAACTGTAATTTTTTTCTTATGTTTATCACCACACTAACTTGTCGTTGCTTATTTTTTGGTTAGGTTATTATTTTAAAGTTTCTAAAACACTATGTTTGGCGTTTAACGTTATCACTACCGCTATTTGCATTTAAGTTGATAATAAATAATGAAGTAGTAAATCACACTAATGTGACAAGTGCGTAACAAATTTTTCAACTTTTAATTTTTAAACAAGTGAATAAAATATTACGACTAAAACAAACTAGACTTTGATAGTTGTCTGAAGTTGCCGTTTAAATTCCCATCGTATTTCTTGTAACACTTCGACGTGCTCGGGTAATTTTGATTTTCGTTGCGCGTCATGTTTAACCACACACAGTTGCCTACTTGCCGGATGGTGGCGCGCCGTTTCACGTCGGGTTCCAACAGGTACCTAACCTCAAAACATGTTTGGATAAAATTTAAACTACTAAAAAGTTTAATAAGTAAACATACGCAATGAGATTCTGTAAATGGACACAATGAGAACTCCATGCCTTTTGTGCAGAGACACACAGTGACCGATTAAGTTGATTGCGCAGCATTTTTTTTACATTTGAGTCGTCAAATGGCATTGTCGCTGAGATCATGACGTAGAGTATGCAACCCAATGCCCAGATGTCGTACATTTTTGGATCGTATGGTATTCCCTTAAAATAAATTGAAATTAATTTAAAATTTAATAAAACATAATAATTACTTGGATTATTTCAGGGGCGGCATAAGCAGCTGAACCACAATACGTTTCCGATAGTAAAGAATTGCCGTGTTCATCAATACAAAACCGAGCAAAACCAAAATCTGCTAATTTTATATGCTGTGGCGATGATAGTAAAACATTTTCGCATTTGAGATCACGATGTGCAATGTCCAGAGTGTGAAGGTAACTTATAGCATTCACAATTTGCCTAAAAATATTAATATTAATAACATGTTACTTAAACATTTAAAAAAATGTTTTATTTGTTATGTTATACTCAAAGAAAACTTTTGAGACATCCTCATCCAAAGCCCCTTTTTCTCGGACGTATTCTAATAAATCCCCACATTTACAATAATCCATGATAATGTAAATCGATTCGTTTGCTTCAATGACATCATGAACACTAATAATATGCTTGTGATGCAAATGGCGGATGATACTCAGCTCTCTTGGCAAGAACTTTTCTATAAATTCAGTTCCGGCTAACTCTTTCTGAATTATTTTACAAGCAACTCGTTCATGGATCGTATTGACTTTTCCGTTAAGAGCAGCCACACATACTTTGCTATAGGTGCCTTCACCAATTGTTTTACCACAGGAATAACCCATTGATTTTAAAACTTCTTTCTATTTGTAAAAAGTTGGTGTTTTTAATAGAATAGCAAAAAGTATTGGGTTTTAACTATTAACTTACATCATTGGGAGGTGGTTTATTGGTTTTTGACCGTTTTCCACATGTGAACAACTTCGCCATCTTGTTTATCTTTACCTTTGAGGTTACGTTGCTTACCGTGTCTGTGTTCGAGGAAGAATTGAGAAGTTTTCGCCACGGTTTCATCTATTATAAGTTTATGTTACAAATATTTCGATTATTTACGAGGAGGAAAATAAAACACTACTTTTGCTTGAATCATTACAGAATTTGACATTTCACTACGCTGTTTTATTTTCGCATCCTGTCATTTTAATTGTAATCAATTTTGTTTTGACAAGTAGCAAGATCTCTTGCCTAGAGAAGAAAAAGTAAATAGCGTTGACTGAAATAAACACTAGTAAGTAAAGTACAAAACTTTATTTATTTAAGTGAATAGTGAAACTTTCAAAGTGAACGTTCTCTTAGGCTAATCATACTGATTATTAGTAAAAATTTAGTTTATATCTTTGGAAAATTTGAGACTTGAAAATTCGAATCCAGCAGATCACCCGCTGTTGAACAAATACCTAACTACTTGTGTCGTCATGATTGCTTCTTAAACATAACCTAAATCCTGTGAATACTCGAGAGATACAATATTTTATTACCAATTAGGCAGTGTCACTGCTGCTGAAAGAACCGATTGGTGACATCGGTGGCCTTGGACGGCTGAGTCCATTCCGACACACTTGTGCGATGAAAGTCGGATCGCGCCCTCTGGTTTCAGGCAGATACAGCCGAATGAACACGAATAACAAGATGGCGATAGCGCTAAATATGAAAAAAGAGGCGGCGCCAATAACACGTTGCATTGTAGGGAAAGTCATGCCGATGATGAAGTTCCCGCCCCAGTTTGCCATACTACCCAATGCCATTGCGCTTGGACGTGGCCCTACTTCGAATAATTCCGATCCAATGAAGTATGGGATTGGGCCTAGGCCGATGCCATAAGTTAAGACAAAACCAAGCACGCCGATTATAGAGACGTAAGGCATCCAAGAGATTGTTTCCTGTGTGCAATCAACAAAATATTAATTATTTTAATTTATAGTGTGTGAAATTACTTACAATGTAAGTAATTGCCACGCCTAAGAGAGCTAAAAATACTGCTGCAGTTCCACAACTCAATTGAAAGACGCTGCGTCTGTTGAAGCGTGACATCACCGGAATTGATATCACCGCCATTGCTAAATTAATAATTCCTGCTCCAATGGTGGCCAGTTGACTGTTGCTTTCGTTAAGCCCCGCCCTCATGAAAATTGACACTGAATAGTAGAAAACCTATACAAAAATGACGTAAAACTGTTTTTTTTATTTAATATAATTTGTTGACTTACAGCATTAATTCCTACAAATTGCTGCCCAGCTTGCATGCTGCACACTAAAAGTATAGGCAACAATAGTGTCTTCTCGCTAATAACCTGCCCCAAAGACCAATTTCGCTTCTCCGATGCTTGTTCAGCTTGCAACTCCAAAATATCAGGTGTAAGGCACTCCGATGGCAAGTTGCGAATATTTTCGAGTTGTTTTAACGCTAACGTCGTATCTTTCTTTACCACATACAGATATTTAGGACTTTCGGGTAGAAATGGAATAGCTAGAGAGGATATTAGGACAAAAACCAAATAGAAACCTAAAAGTTGTGGCCATGCATCTTCTGTACCCAGAACGGTGTTTAAAGACATAATTTGGCCAACAAGTACACCGAAAGTGACGCCGAGTGGACAAAGAACACCGAGTGGTCCACGCAGGCGCAATGGTGCCAACTCCATTAAGTACATAGGGACTATACATGTTGCTAAACCTAAAAATAGATTAAATTTAAATATAATAAGTTGAAATGTGTTGTAAAATGTGGTACCTGATGACAATCCAACTAATAATCGTCCCAGAACTAATAATTCCACAGAGTTGGCTACCTTACAAGAGAGAAAACAAACAGAGCTCGCAGTTGCAAGAACCGTGCTCATGACAATACCGCCTTTGCGACCTAACTTATCGGCTAAGTAAGAACCGCCCAGAGAGCCAATGACGCCGCCCACAATAAAAATTGACACGATGGCTGACCATAACACGTCCATTGCGCCATCTTGCAGTGTTACTCCGTACCTTTCCTGTACACTAATGTTACAGAAAGACTTTATAACCTATAAAACCAAATAAATCAACAAACTTGCGATAATCAATAAATATATGACAATTTTACTTCTGCCGGTGCATTTACAACTCCAATGTTAAATCCGACAGTTAGTGATGATCCAATGGTCGTGGATGCGCCAGCGAGGATCAAGATAGGAGTCCAACCCTGGAAAATAACATAAAATGAAAGAAATGACTTAAAATATATATAATCAAACAAATTGATGAATTATTACAAGATGGCGGATGTGAAAATGTTACAATGTGTATTTTTAAGTTCAAAACTTTTATTTCCTTAGAAAAATAGTTATAAACTATATAAGTACGACCAATCACGAACAATAGATTGATGAAAAAACATTAAGCCACTCGTTTAGACATTTTAGACATTCAAAATTGCACTAGACAACAATTTTTGTAAATAATTTCGAAGAGTTCCCTTAAACTTAGGCCACCAAATATGCACAACCATTGCGAACGTCTACAAAACACAACGAACATGGCTGACATTGCTTATAATTTAATAATACTTTGCTTTGCATCATCTTTGGAACAAGTTATTAATCATTTCCTTCAATTTGTATCCAACTGTTGATAAATATTGTGCATTTTTTTTAAGTGTTTGCCAACATTAGTATTTCCTGTTCATAACGATGTCGGCAATCAAGATAAAGTCGTAAATAATGGGTGGAACTGTAAACAGGCCGAAAATCATCCAGTACCATCCACACTGCATTCCGTCCATCACCAAATAGCACAGCATACACGCAGCGCAACCATGTGAAGCGATCGCTATGAATTTATTAAGGAAAAACTCACAAACTCCACACGCAAACATTTTTCAGGTTATGTTTAGTTAAAACTATCAATTTTATGCGTGAAAATATGAAATTTTTCAAAAGGATACACAACAAAGCGGACGACTGACTAAACATGGTCAACCCCAGCAGGAATGCGAGAAGTTCGATTAGGATGATCGTTATCGACAAGCTCATTCCCAACACTAGCCTATGAATGAGAAAACAATCAAAACTATCAAACAGTAAGTTCACAACCCACAAATATGTAATGATATGCCAGCGGACATTAATAAAAAGCATGAATTCATGATATGATGTTGTTTGTATTGACATACTGCGTGTGCTGAACGTCGTAGGCCCTTTGTGTGTGCTCCTCGGGCAAACAAATCTTCACGCTCTCCCGGCTGCTCCATAGTATCGTGAGCGCAACGGCCAAGTGGGCGATGAGAGTGAGGAATTTCGCGGGGATCAATCTATCGCCTGACTTGCTCATTACCAATTGAGTCAACAAACCACTCCCGAAACTGGCAAACAATCTGAAACAAAGCAGATGTATTAATATAACATCAGAATTAATTTTGGTGCTATAAATATAAATCACTGACTTTTCTAGTGTTATTTAGGTCTAAAACTGTAGTATTATTAATTAAATTAACTATTTTGTTTCAAAATCAACAAATTTGATTAGAATCTATGTAAATTATGTAAATTTCATTCATTGACCCCGGAAATGCAAGTATTACATCAAGCAATGAACACACTGTATTGCAATACTCACAGGAATCCAGCGTCAAAATGGAGGAGCAAAGTGCGCTAACAGAATGAACAGCTGTACAATACTAACAGAACTTTATCCTTGTAGGCCGTGCACTATCGTGGACAATGTAATAAACATGAATCTACTAATTAAAATTCGGAATGGGTAATTCGAAACGAAATTAGAACACAAACACACACACAACACATAACCTTCGATTAGGGCAAGGTCAACTCTCAACTAATCGCAAGTTTCTCTTTTGACAGACTTAGAACAGCGCTGTTAGTGGCAGCTGATTGAAACTAATCGCCATTTCTTTTTATGATTTTCGAAATTTTTAACAATTTTTAGTTTAATAGCTGACACGTAACTCTAATGATGCGTTCTTATTAATAAATTGCCTTCAATTATAATTTGACACAATGTTCCATCATCTTTATTGAATGTTAACATCACTAACATTGTATATTTTTGTTTCTATCAATTTCAGAATGATGATGCTACCGACGTGTACAAAGATACAATTAGTAAAAAAAACAATCTATTACACTAATCTCCACGCCCTCATTGACACTTGCAAGTTGCTGTAGAGTTGATTGTTTTCTGGTTTGCTTGCTTAATAGTAACAATAATGTGTATATCCTATAGATTCAAGTAATGATAACAGAAGGCACCGCTAAGTTTCTTTACACTTCATCATTGAGTTACAATTACCAAATAAAGATTACATATTGTATGTACATCGACGCGAAAACTAAAAAACACACGCCCCCGTCTTTATCAAAAATTTTAAACACGCCTCAAATCCCCCGAATCCCCCCCGTTAAATGCATGATGTTGAACAATTCGAGAATAACGTTAAAAAATATTTTACTTACAAACTTAGAACTTAGAAAACAGCAAACCGGCGGCGCAATATTAAAAAAAAACGAAAAATATGTAAAGTGTGACGGTTTGAACGCGAGGAATGTCCTTCTGCGCAAGCGCACATAATCTAGCCGCGTTTATGTGCTTGTGGTGGACGGCAACTCGTCGGCCTCCTCAGTCTTCGCTCGTTTCGTACTGTCCGCCTCCTCTGATTCAGAAGCGGGGCGTTTCGCGCTCGCGCTCTTGTTGTTCCTGAATTCAACAATGATGGCGGTCATGTTATCACATCCAGTACCATCTCCCATCGTGTTTGGAGCCAGGCAATGATCAAACATCTAAAAACATTAAAACGTGTTCATTTGGTTGCATACCTTACATATATAAATATAAACACAACTTACTTCTTCGCAAATTTTTGATAACTTGGTCCCACTCTTGATTGCCGGCCGTACAAAATCCACCACCTCCTGACTAGACATAAAGTTCCAGATGCCATCACAAGCCAACACCATAAACTCATCCTCGCCCTCAATTTTCAACGTTTTGATATCAGGCAGCGCGGTGATCATCTGCTCCCTTGCATCTAGCTCCTTATTCTGCTTATAGGCATGATCACCAATCGCGCGAGATAAATTCAAACCGCCATTGACCCGCCCATCGGCAGTGACACGCCCACCAGCCTTGACAATTCGATCCCGTTCGATTTGATCCTCTGGTTTGTGATCAAAACTCATATCAATCGCCTTACCACCTCTACAGACAATACAACGTGAATCACCCGCATTCGCAACATACAGTGTGTCCTCTTTTAACAGAGCAACCACAGCAGTACAACCCGAATCCGAGCCGGGTTCCTGAATCATCGTTTTCGCGAATGCCGTGGCCGCAGTTTCATCCTCATCGAATGTTTCAGCATCCTCATCACTATATTCATCCTCTTCATCATCGTCCTCCTCCTCGTCGGCATCCTCTTCAGACGAGTTGGCATCTTCGACGGAATTATTCACACCGTCAGCATCATCATCGTCATCCGAATCGTTCGCTGCATTCGCGGTGGGATCTTCAAATGTTTTATCATTATCGTCGTCATCGTCTTCGGAGTCTGATTCGAGAGGTGGAATATCGAGGAGTTTCGCGTACATTTGTTTAACTGTACGCTGTGGACGCGTCCTCGCCGGTTCCTTTTCTCTGCATCCAAAGGTGAGGTAGGAACATCGACGCCTTTGGTTTTTACAGTCGCTTTACCTTTCTTCGGACTGCCATTTTCCATTGTTGGTGTTGTAGGCGTCGTAGTTGTTGTTGGTTTCTCACCATTATTGACTTCAGCATCAACATTCGACTCTTTTAAGTCTTTTAAATCGGAATCGGCGGTTGAATCAACCACGATTTTCGGTGGGGTGATTTTATGCCCGTTTTCTTGTTTCTCTACTTTTTCTTCTTTGTCTTCTACTGAGCTGGAGCTTGTCACGGCTTCGACTTGTTGTACACTTGTCGAGCTACTGCTCCCGCTGGTGCTGGAACACACGCCTGAAGATTCACCGTCTCGTAAGGATGCAGCAGCCGCGGAACTTTTCGCTTTCAAAAATGGCGAGGATGGTTTGTCATCTTTTAGAGACGCGGCTCGATTATCTTGTCGTCCGAGTAAGTTACTCGTGTATTTCTCGATGACTTGCTCGATGGGCATGGATGCTTCTTCATACAGGTGGTTGACGTTTTCTTCGTCTTCGTCGCTCTCATCATCGCTGTTTTTGTCTTTGGCCATTTCTTTGAGGACCTTGATAACGTCAGGTGTTGCGATAGTAGCGTCGAAACCTAGGAAGGTTTCTTCGAGGGCTTTCGCAACATCGCCGTTTTTATAGAGTTCGAGGGATTTTAAATAGTTGGGGAGTTTTTCTGAGCAGTAGAGTGCTACTTCGTGCCCTCCGTGGCCGTCGTAAACAGCGAAGAATGATGTGTTTTTGTCATAGTCTAATATGCAGTTGTGTGCATCCTGCAGGATAAAAACAAATTAATTTTTAATTTAATTTAAAATCAATTTAAAAAAGCATGAAAACAACTTAAACTAATTAAAACATTTATATTATAAGTAGTAGAAATATTTGTAGCAATTTACTGTATAGTTTTTATTTTTTATTGTAAATATTTAATGAATTTAAAAAAAATCCACTTGGATTTTTTGCATTTTCGAGGTTAGGAATATGTAAGATTGGCGCTCACCTCCTGACTAACGCGCCATCCCTGCATAGAGCTGGAGCCGCATGCCAGCAGCTCGCTGAGCTCCTCAGCGGAGATCTTCTCCGTGATCGGCTCGGAGAGATACGAACCCATGTTGAGCTCGGGTCGGCGTCTGAGACGATGTTATGTGCACGCCGGGCGTTTCAGAGGTTTCGGCGCTCGTTGGACGTTGCGGTGCGCAGAGTTGCCAACCGAAGCAGCGGGCGAAACAAATGCCACTCGACCGACAGCATTCAATATGCTTCGCACACGCCGGTAGACTTCGAATGCTGGAGCTGCACAGGCGTTCGATGTCGGCGTGACCGGCGGCAGCGGTAAAGCCGGTAGGACCAGGTGCGAGACGGTCGGGATGCGGTGTGTTTCCAGCGGCGGGCGCGCAGTTATAAAACGCACAAATTGCGCGAACTACCTTCGCGCGTCTCCACTACTTCAAATTGCAATGGTAGGTGGCGTTAATCCCAGTACATTTTGATGAAATCAAATATTTAACGCGTAAATTATATAATAAACGCAAAATAATTATTTAAAGCTTGTATACAATAAGTTTATTCTTATTTTAAACTTTACGCGTAACGTTTGTTTGAATTCAAATTGTTGAACATTTTATTCTAACAACTTCTAGCAGCTACCACCGAGGGTGCTGAAACATGAGTAGCTTACAAATTATACAAGGTGTTTCAACACTAAATCTATAAATTTAAGTTTAGTATCAGTCAAAAATGCTATTTAGCACTAATTTACACTTTACAAAAATTTTAAAATTGTTTGAACTATTGTTTTTACTTTAAAATAGCTCTTAGATATTCAAAATTTAGTCGTATTTAGCATTTATTATACTTTTTTAATTTGAGTAAACAACTGTATGATCGGGAAACGTCACAGATATGTCAAAAAGCTGTCAAAAGTGCTCAATCAGAAATATAACCTGTAAAATTGCAGCCTCTCCTTTCCAAACCCGATTCGAACGTGAGTCGTGTGCGGAAATCGTGGTTGCGTGTGAGTTTTACATGCCCACCGGAATAGCGGACACGGAAATTGTGTGGCGCTAATAAAATGACGAAATGTAGCGACTACATCGAGACGGAGTTTCCACAATTGGATGGCGATTTAAAGCAATATGTTCAAGGTATTTAGCATGAGCAAATTTCCAATTGGATTGCACCATCCATTAAACAGGATTAGACTGGATTAACTAATTAACATGCGTTGTTTTGCTTGTAGACGTGTTGAAAAATGGTGCTGACGACTTTCAAGACGCCGAGGAAGTATACGACGCCGTCGGCGAAGTGTTGCTACAGGTGTCTCTTGATAAAACTGAAGATGACATATGGTATTAAATTAAATTCATATTTTTATTGTATTAAAATGACAATTTTATGTTTTAATTTCTTATAGGAATATATGTGCTCAGCTTCTGAAGTTACTAAAACCAAAAGGCAATGATAAAAATGGACCAACAAAGGTGCTCAATGCACCTATACATCTTGGATCAATGGCTGCCAATCAAGAGACCAATATTGATGATGTCAAAAGCATATGGATGATGCAGAGGGATGAGAGTTTAGTAAGTTTCAATGTACATTTATATATTTTACATAAAATGTATTTATTTAATGAATTTTTAGAAAGTTGATTCTAAAAAATTAGAAAAAGCCCAAGCAAAACTCCAAGAAAAACAAGAAAAGCGTTCTAAGGATCAATACAAACCAGCCACAGCACCAAAACTAGAAAGTGCCACAGCCTCACAAGTAACCAGTAAGAAGGAGATCAAATTGGAGGCGAAGGGAACGAACAAAACGACAGACATCCGCATCGAAAACTTTGACATTGCTTACGGAGATCGTGTTTTGTTGAGCAACGCGGATGTAACACTTGCATTCGGTCGGAGATATGGTTTGGTCGGACGTAACGGTCTAGGAAAAACAACGCTGTTGCGGATGATATCCGCTGGTCAACTGCGCATTCCGAGCCACATTAGTATTCTGCACGTGGAGCAGGAAGTCATCGGAGATGAAACTATAGCACTTAACAGTGTTTTAGAGTGTGATACAGTAAGAAATGATTTGTTGAAGCGCGAGAAAGAGTTAAACGCGATGATAAATTCAGGGTAAATCATTAAATATTGCAAAATTAAATTTTTTTTACTTAAAAATTGATTTTAGTTCAACAGATCCAGCGTTGTCTAATGAATTAAGCGAAGTATACGCTTCACTTTTAAACATTGAAGCTGATAAAGCCCCGGCGAAAGCGTCGATTATCCTAAACGGTCTTGGATTTACTACGGCTATGCAAGCTGCAGCTACGAAAACTTTCTCAGGTGGTTGGAGAATGCGTCTTGCGCTCGCACGCGCTTTGTTTTCACGCCCGGATTTATTACTGCTTGATGAACCGACGAACATGTTGGATATTAAAGCCATCATTTGGTTGGAGAATTACCTGCAGAACTGGCCCACTACGCTGTTGGTGGTTTCTCACGACAGGAACTTTTTGGATACAGTGCCTACGGACATACTGTATTTACACTCGCAGCGTATTGAGCCGTATCGCGGAAATTACGAGCAATTTATTAAGACGAAAACTGAAAACATAAGAATCAGCAGCGCGAGTATGAAGCTCAGCAACAGCATCGTGCACACGTGCAGGAGTTCATCGATCGGTTCAGATACAATGCGAATCGGGCGTCCAGTGTGCAGTCGAAAATCAAAATGTTGGAAAAACTGTAAGTATATGAGTAAAATTGAATTTGCAGCGCCATCTATCAACTATTGATTTATTTTTTCTTCTCTAGGCCAGAATTAAAACCAATTGAAAAAGAAGTCGATGTGGTGTTAAAGTTTCCTGATACAGAACCTCTTTCTCCGCCGATTTTACAACTCAGCGAAGTTGCCTTCAGATACAACACCGCTCGGTTGATATTTGCCGATGTTAACCTCAATGCAACACTAGAGTCCCGTATTTGTATCGTTGGTGATAACGGTGCTGGTAAAACTACATTGTTGAAGATTATTATGGGCATGTTAACACCTACCTCAGGTATGCGGCATGTGCATCGTAACCTCAAATTCGGATACTTCAGCCAGCACCACGTGGATCAGTTGGATATGAATGTGAATTCGGTTGAGTTGCTGCAGCAGAGTTACCCTGGTAAACCGTCCGAAGAGTATAGAAGGCAGTTGGGTAGTTTTGGCGTGTCAGGTGACTTGGCACTGCAGACTGTTGGCAGTCTTAGTGGAGGACAGAAAAGTCGTGTGGCGTTCGCGCGGATGTGCATGGGGATGCCTAACTTCTTGGTTCTTGACGAACCGACGAATCATTTGGACATCGAGACGATAGAGGCGCTTGGAAAGGGAATAAATAAATATAATGTAAGTTTTATTTTGTGTTCGCGCATGCGTCGGCGTTTAAATTGTTGAATTTGACATGGCGGCCATTTTATTTCGTTGATATTTACAGGGTGGTGTAATACTTGTATCGCACGACGAGCGCCTGATTCGAATGGTGTGCAAGGAGCTGTGGATCTGTGGTAATGGCTCCGTGAAGAGTATAGAAGGCGGATTCGATGAATATAGGAAAATTGTAGAACAAGAATTGGAGGCGGCGGCCAAGTGAACGTGCCTAGCACCACCTAGGTGGTGAACATTTGTACCATGTATTAACCTAATGTAATTTATTACATGCATGCATTCGCAACCTCAACTCTCAGAATATGTGTAAAGTATATAAAGTTGGGTGGAACAAAGGAACTAAACAATTGAAAAAAAAAACAATCGAAATATTTCACCCCTAGAAACAAAATGAATCAAATATTTGTCATTTGACAGAATCTCGGCGAAGTCCCCTGACAAAATCAAAATTTCTCTGTAAAAAATCCTCAAAAATTCCAAATTTAAGTGTATTTTTTCTTCTTTGTTGTTTATATTAACTTGTCAGGATGAGTTTAACAAGCTGTGAGTTGTGCACTTTATACCAGGATTGTGAAACGATTGTGGAGTGCGAGGTGAGAAGCGTAATTATTGATCAAACAAGCTAACAATTATGCGCTTCTGTTTATTTCTCACCTTTGTTGACTGTTGACAGTGCCTGGTTGACAACGTCGTCGAATCTGCCATCATGCACACATATCCAAAGAACTATGAGTGTGATGTAAGTAAATAATTAATAATAATTCATAAATATTCAATAAAAACACATGGTATATTTGATTATACAGGAGGAGGCACTTCGTCGAGATATAAAAGAATACAAAGAACTCCTGTGGGCCATTAAGGATGAAAATACTTTGTTGAAGGTTAAAAATCGAAGATTAGAGGATATACTAAAGAAGAAAAACAAGATTGTTGACAGTCATTATCTTGGAACTCATGTAATACTTATCAAAAGTGGTTATGTTATGTTTTGAGGTTAATTTTATATTTTACAGAATAAAATACTATTTAAAGAGACAGTGCACCAATTCACGCATCGAATTGAAGCTCTTCAGAGTGAAAACGAAGAACTCAAGCAAGAATTGAATGACAAAGAGTCTATGATTCGAAAACTGCGCAAAACATTGAGTACTTGCTCCGCCTACAAACCCGCACCACGTCGTGTAACCTCGAAAAAGAAAATTACATCAGCTTCTACTTCCGGATCAATGGGTTCACGCACCAGTCGAGCTACAGTACGCTCTCAAGATCAAGAATCTACAGGAACCGAAGAAATCACCGAGGAATTACTAAAAATTAAACTTAAAGATATCAGCGATACAAACACCGAAGGCGAACATGATACAGACCGAGCGGTGTCTTGTTCATTATTATTAGACACACCACATGAAGAAATCGAAAAATTACATTCGGGGTTTAAAGATATTTTATCAGAAGTTGGCAAGTTGAAAGATTCAGTTGGTGAAATGCATGATCAACATGCACGAGCAGTTTGTGAGATGCGCATGCGCGAGAAAGAGTTAATGGCGAGGATTCAGGACAAAGAAGAAGAATTTGCATATCGAAATATACGAAAACAAGCGTCTGGAGGTGTTACAGTTGATACAGATCGGCCTAGATTAAGTAAAACAGCTTCTAGGAAGGTAATTAACCACAAAACAATTGATTTTATGTTAAAATATAACCTAATATTGTTGTCTATATAGGCAACCAGTGTATTTGCAAGAATTCTCCCTGCGCATCACACAAAATCACCTTCAAAACAACAAAAAGGTAAGAATCGCAACGGGCTAGCAATCCGCACGGCGTCGAAAAATGTACTCCACGACGAAACCGATATGCGTCTGTACATCGACGAAGTTTTAACCGAAATGAATCGCCAGAAATAACTTGTTTACTATGTTCCATCCAATAAACTCGAAAAGACTCGAATCAAATCACAACTTTTCTTATTATTCAAAAAATACGTACACGTTTCTCATTATACAACTTGATAGTACTTTATATTTATACATTTTATATTTTGAGTAGGCAATCAGTCTCTTTTAACACAGTTTCATTCAAAATGTAAGAAATTCACCGGACACACACAGATTAATTTGGAAAATAACAACGAAGAGAACGTCACACGATTCATACGAAAACATTTGCGCGCCATGTGTTCAAAACTCGCTTAAATCTTTAACTTATTCATATAAAATGTCTTCCTTTAAGGTTTAAGGTCTTGGTTTGTAGTTGCGCCCGCGCCTAAATTTTATTCATTCGGATTTGTTCTTCGCGTCGGTTTTGATACTGGTCATGGCCATGTCGGCGATTTTATCCGTCAATAACCCGCCGTATCTGCGCAGAATACCTTTGTTTTCCATGCCGGGCACGAGGCAGACGAACGTCACCAACGCGTAGGTCAGCAGCATGTTATCCACGTTGTTGCCGAGCCACGCCATGAATACCAGCGCGCTGATTAGAATTGTATAGTACTGTAAAAGCACAATATTAATGATTATGATGAGTCATTGATTACTAGACATATTTTAACATATTTAACAATATTTCAACACAAAACACGAAAATTTCTTACCAATCTTTGTCTTGTTGATTTCAACAGACAAAAGGACCGATAGGTGATGCATAACTTCTCTTTGTTGAGGACGATACTCCGGCAAATCATATCGTAGCGCTGTTCGTGTTTCTCTGTCCATGGCTCTGGTCTAATAAGAAAACCGGAATATAAATGGGGAACACAGAATTCGCTCACGGTGATTGTGAGGCAAATGAGCGCTATGGTGGTGAGAAGGCTGGGCTCCAATAACCAGAGCATCATGAAGAAGGTTGTGGTGCAGCCGACGATGCTGAAGGGATGCCATTGTTTCTCCCATTGCAGGATGGAGTGCAATGGAAGCAGCACATCACGCCAGCTTTGAAGCGCATTTTTCAAGTCTGCGATTTTAACTTCCTGCATAAACAATTTATGATAATATTAATATTTACTTCAAACTTTTTCTATAAAATTAAGGATAAATATAGAAAATAGGATAATTTTACCGTTTCAGTGGCGAAACTTAAATATTTTGAGCGCACATCTTTGACGTCTCCGGCGATGTTGTGGCGACTTTTTTCGGTGTGATAACACGCGTCATTGGGAATTAAATGCTAGGATAAAGGATAAAGATTGACAAAGGATTGGATGTGATAGGATAAAAATGTGTGCGTATAGAATTAAACTCACCTCTTCAGCCATTGTGTCGCGATTTTTGACGAAAATTTTGAGCAATTCTCTCGATGTGACTGCACGTTATTCGAATATGGCAGCTGGCATGCGGTTGCTGAGATGAAATTTTCAGTCCTGCAAATCGCGCGAATTATTATCGCGTACTCACTGTCACGCTGCGATTGTTGAGAAGTGATTGTTGAGGTTCGTAAATTGCAAAAACAAATGACATCTGTTTATCAAGCTTTGGTTTCTAACCCCGCCAATTGGACAAAAATTCAATCTAGGTATTTTCAAATGATTTAAATTAAACTCACCAAATAACATGCAATGATTATTTGCTACAACATGAAGATAACGTCTATTAATTTTATTTGCGTTTTATCTACTGTAAAATGAAGTAAATTTGTTGATAGGTGATTATAATTTAAACTTGTTTTTATGCACGGTAATCTGGGGACTTTCTGTGTCAATTCAAGGGTAAAAGAAAAAGACGCGTCCTGACAGCGCGGTATTCATCTAATTAAAGTAAATTTAGTACAAGCATTATCTGACCAGAAACTATACATAAATAATAAAACAGTGTTAAAAACATCAAATTACTCCAAATATTTAAAATATTATATTGAAAAGTTGTATAATTTAGTAATTTTATGCTCTGACACATTTTGAATTTGGTAACATTCTAGGGATTTTTACTCGGTGTCGTAGCGGCGAGCGTCGCTGGCGTTGCGGCGGACGCTGTAATCAAGCCGCAGTGATGTCGCTGCATCGGCCGATGCCGTGGTGCTACTTTCACATTCGTTTTGATTTTGACACAAAATCAAAATAAAACCGAGTTATTCGGCGTCCGCTAACCCCGACCGATTGTACGTATTGTTCGTAAAATAGCCGCAAGTCCCAAATTGCGATTCGGCATCGCGACCACTTCGAATTTGCGTTTCGAGCGCTTGTTGTTATTTATAGTTGCAAGCCCGCCATTTTGGCGTGCAGCGTTGTCTTTCACTTTGCGTCACGACGGGAACGAAATTGTTAAAAACGTAATTAAATTCCGGTCGAATTTGTGTTTACCAAGTGGAAATTAAATTATGTTAGTGGTGACGCGGGTGGCACGCGTTGTGCCCCCTTCGCGAGGCCTCGGTATGCCCCGCTTTTGTTTGACAAGCCAAAATTAGCGTCATAACCTCAATCCTCGAAGCGCAAACATCTACAATGGCGCGAATTAGTTGTGTTTTAAATTAATTATTTAAATAATATGTGAATTTTTATTAGCTGGCTGAGCGCCACGTGGAAACATGACGGAAGAGGTGGAGAAGCCTCTGGATGGGCTCTCTGAAGAGGAGAAGACCACAATTATTACAAGTAAGTAGCATCATTTTTTCTCTTGTGAACTTTCTAATATTTTCTATTTTAATAGATGCTGTAAAAGAGGTGCACTTAGCTGATATTCTCCTGTGTGGCAAATGCAATGAGGTGTATCACATGCTGGAGGAATTCCAGGAACACAAAGCAAGTGAAAGCTGCAAGGAAAATGGAGAAATCAAGGAGACACTGAAAGATGATAAGAAGCCACAGATATGGGCATTTACACTCTGGAAAAACACCAAGTTCAAGAAGATGGCATCAGAGGAGAAGGCACTCACATCATGGAACATGTATCAGACATGGAGGGCAATGAAGGAGCCTGAAAAGGAGACATGGTTGACTGTTGCAGCAAATATGCAGGGGTTGTATGATATTGTTGTGAATTTTGAGAGGAGCAAGTTGAAAATTTTACCCAAGAAGGAAGGAGAGGATGCTAAAGACTCAAAAGCTCCAGTTATTTTGAATAAGGTGAAAATCACTAAATTATTAAGTTATTAAAAATAATTATAAAAAAAATGTATTGGTTTATAGGTGATTAAAGCTTCAAATACGCGAAAAGCATTTAGGACGGGCGGAGACAGTAAAGTGGAGCTTCTTGTTGAGAAGTTTACGTCAAAACGGTACAATCCACGCAAGAAAACGTTTGAATATCTTGTTAAATGGGAAAATTTGGATGCGTAAGTAAAGTTTTTCTTAAAATACCAAAAGTTCAATACATTTTCTTGTAATTTGCGCCAATTACTCAATTTAATACCTTTTTAGATTAAATTTATATGTTTTGATTCTTCTAACAGTGACCAGAACACCTGGGAACCAACTGTAGCCCTCTACAACTGCAAATCAATGATGGAAGAATTCGAGAAAAACCTCCAAGCTCAACGAGAACAGAACCGCGTTCAGAAATCACTCGATAAAGCAAAGAAAGCCGCCGAGCAACCAGTTTACGAAGGACGCCCACAGCGCACCAGCAAACAAAAAGCGCTCAACCAAGTAAAAGCTTGGTGCGGTGCCGAATCACAAGACCATGGCGATAAACGCGTCTTCTCTGATGATTCAGAAGACGACGACTTCTACGAAAAACGCATCAAGATGGAAGCCGACAGCGACTCCGACGACGGCCAACCGATTGTCACCATTAAACGCATCAACAAAAACGGCGTCGAACGTCGAGTAGGCACCGCGCAAAAGGTGGACACCATTACCCTTCCAGAAAACATCCTTATCCCAGACGCTAAAGGTATTGTACGTATCAGCCAGAAACAAATTCCATCGTTAAGTTCAGGCGTGTACGTCATGTCAAAAACCGCTGGGATTATCAAATTGGACACAGCTGCAGCGACGAAGTTAACACAAGGCGGTGGTCAGACTGTTCTGAAAGTAGCACCCAAAGTTGGTCAGGCTAGTATCAAAGTAATCAAAAAGAGTAGTCTTGGTAATGATCTGAGCAACGGCGGGCAGAAGATTGCATTCAAGGCTTTAAGCTCCGGTGGAGTTTCCGCAAGACCATTGATGAAGAACTACAGCGGGAAGGTTTACATGCAACGACGGACCAATGCACAAGCAGCCGCAGTGGCCGCGCAGAAGAAAAACGAAGTGGAATTCGAGCATGAAATGAGTAAATACGACGACGAATCTGACGGTATCGAAGAGATGGAATTCCCTGAAGAAATTCAAGTACCTGTCGCGGAAAGTCCACCGCCCGAGTTTTCTCTATGTCCGCTTACGGGTAAAGTCGTCGATAAGAACGGCAGCGTCATTGAAACGGAAGAACCGCCGGAAGCCGATGCAGATAACGTGACGGTTAAAGAAGAATCAAATGAAACAACTGCAGTGACGACCGCGTCGAGTTCATTGGGTAATTTGGTTAATATTGCCGCGGCGGACATTTTGGACGATCTCGCCAACAACGATATTAAACCCGAAGCGATGGAAATGGCTGCGGAAGACTTAAATATGCAGGTTAATGTTAAGACGGAAACTGGTACCGCTGTCGCGACGGTGACGATACCCCAAAGTGTTTCATCACCACCGCCTTTAGTAAGAACAACGCCGACGAGTGGGCGCACACAAGTGAAACAAACGCGGATTATTCACTCGCCTGCGTCAAAGCCTTCGATTCTCAGCACGGCGTTAACAAATGCGAATATTGTACGTAGAGGTCCACCCAAGTTGGTGAGAAGAACTGATGCGCGTGGTGGTATTGTTCAGACCCGAATGCCACCACATCAAATCGTGCGACAAGTTGGCGCTGCGCAGCATTCTACGGTTGTGACGAGAGTGACGCCCTCTGGTGTCACGCAACAAGTCCGCCAGATTCGGCCTGGCACGCAAATAATCCGCAAGCGGATTGTTCAGGTACCTGCCGGACATGGCCAGGCGCAACTTCAACCCGGGCAGAGGAGTGTTGTTAGGCAACCAACGCGCGTGTATCAACAGGTGGTGAGAACGAGCACTCCTCAAGTTACGCAGGTTACATACGTTGCAACACCGACGAATAGTAATAAAGTTATTACGATGCCGCCATTGTTGGAGACATCCGTGGCGACACCTGTTTTACAAAAAGAGAAACCTATAGCGCCCAAGGTGCAACAACAGCAGCAGATTCAGCAAATACAACAAGTTGTGCAGCCGGTTGTTCAACAAGTTGTACAAGAGCAGCCGCAGGAGGAACCCGCTACGAGTCCTGTACAAGAAACAACGACGTTAAATCTTGGGGATGATGCTCCGCTGTTGATTACAGGGGAGGACGGGACGATTTATCAGGTTGCAGGTCAGAATGAAGATGGGCAGACGATTTTGATTACGCAGGTATGCAGCCATCTTAACTTTAAATTAAAACATAATTTTATGATGTTTTGTGTGATAGGGTGAAGATGGCGAACAACAATGTCTTCTAGTAGCGCCGGAAAACGCGAATCTTATCACGCAAGCGCTTGTGAAACCACAGCAGACGCAGGAAACTATTGTTCAACAAGAGCAGCCTACTATCGTACAAGAGGAGCAGCCACAGGTGTCTGTTGAGCAGCAGCTGTCGATTAACACAGAGGTAGAGGCGACGGAGGAACCTGCGGACGATTCGCAGGTTGTTGCACAGATCGTCAGTGCGAACCCTCCAAGTCCAGGTAGGCAACCAACATATCAACATATTCAACATTTATTTAAAATCCTTTATTCTATTTTTTATCTTATTTTCACAGGTGGAACGAGAAAAGTAGTACTAATGTTGCCCGACGGCAACTTTATGATGACTGAGGTGACAGCCGAGCAGTACGCCGCCTTGGAGCTAGATAAATAAACGACGAATCGTAAACATAGTGAAAAAAAATACTGGGCTCGATCGCGGTGAACATTCGAAATATCTTACACTCTCACCACCCTTTACCCTCTTTACACACACAAATGACTTTGAAGTTGCGTTGCAAGTTTTCTGAACATGATGTTTCATCGAAAAAGGTTACATATATACGCGTATAATAGCCATTAATTGATTAACGTTTATACTAGATTTACACGTACGGAGGAAAATCGAAGGAAAGTGTTATATTTGATATACGGGCATGTGGGAGCGTGGGTTAAGTAATAAAGTGGCGTTGGAAGTTGGAAAAGCGGACCTTTTGGTGTAAACATTTCGTGAAAAGTTAAATCATTAAATTTTAATCGTTTTAAAAAAGAGACAGATAATTACGGACATTATGTGAAAAAATTAATTGTGTATGACTTATTGAAGACGGGGATTTGAAGACATGGAAAATATATTAAATGACTATAATTGTAGCGCCAATATAATGTTAATATCAACTAGATGTAAGCAACTAAACGTGTTTAACTAAACTGGACACAAAATGTACGGGGATGATGCGCGATAATGAAGTAAATAAATTAGCTAAGGTTCAATATATTATTTCAAGGTTATGTTATGTTAATGGGTTATTTTAATAATTAGAGCAAGAGCCCGTGACGACCAGACTTTCGTCATTTTAGGAAAGATGAAATTTTGTCTATGTGTGTCTCCAACACAGGTAAGAACGATCCCCAATTATGAGACCTGGATCGTGGTTCCTTTGGCAGTTAACAGCCAACAAAGATGTACAAATGATGACTTCAAATTCGTTATTTTAGCAAACTCCATTGAAAGTGCAACTCTCAATGCAACTCAGTGCAACTCTTATACACTTTCAATGCGTCTGGCAGGATGTTAGAATCGACCAAACTGTCTGGCGTGAAAGAAAACACAGTTTCATAGCTCTCTGCATAATGTGTATCAAATTCAGCTTTCCTAATATAACGAAAGTAGAAAAGTTAAAAAATATTATAGTTTAGGGGTGTCTGGCTAGGGTTGGAACCATACCAGGTGTCTGGCAATTTGCAGCGCATGTTGTAATAATATTACGAACAATATATGTAATAATTGAGTTTGCTAAAATAACGAATTTGAGGTCATCATTTGTACATCTTTGTTGGCTGTTAACTGTCAAAGGAACCACGATCCAGGTTTCATAATTGGGGATTGTTCTTACCCGTATTGGAGACACACATAGACAAAATTTCACCTTTCCTAAAATGACGAAAGTCTGGCCGTCACGGGCTCTTAGTCTAAATGAATCAATACGCTAATATTTATAATGTGGACATCTTACTCAATGTGTAAAAGGGACAACCGGGGACATCTGCTTTCACCCAGCAGAGAGGAGAGGGGGCACGACTGAGGACTGGGGTCAGTTTGCGCTGGCTTTTATACCTGCGGCGTCCTGTCTACCCGCAAAAAGGAGTGGGGGAAGACACTGGCCGTGTGTAGCTCGCGCATCCACGTGCAGCTTCCCCCGGTCTCCTTTTTGCGGGTACACAGGACGGCGCAGGTATAAAAACCAGCGCAAAGTGACCCCAGTGCTCGGTCATGCCTGAGACCTCCAGCAGTACAGTCGCAGCAGTACAGTTCCCCTCTCCCTTCCTCCTTTTTGCCGAGAGGAAGCAGATGTCCCCGGGTGTACTTTCTAATCATTGCGTAAGATGCTAACATTATATATTGGTGTAGTAATACATTATTGGGCTCCACTTAGATATAAAAGGATACCGCGGAGAAAACAAGGGCTGCTTCAGTAGACCGTTTGCAGGTTTCTATGTTTCTCTGCCCCTTCTCTTCGACCCAATTAGTTTTTATTTATTTATTTACGTCTAATCAACAGTAAATAAAAATTGCATATGCCGCGCCTCTATAAATAAACCCCTAAATTAAAAAACTCACCAAAACGTTCTGTTAATCAATTTACGTCATTTTATCACTACATATTACTCATTTTACTAATTTTATACAATGTCTGTAGGATTTGAAAGTACCCACCGTTCTTCTGATTCATCCGCGTCCAATGAACAAGAAAGCGATGAAAATGCAGTCGTTGGATCCGGCTCCAGCCTCCAATTCAGAAACAGACTCACCACAGAGTTATACCTTCGCTCAGCAAGTTCCCTACGACAAATCCACAAACGCCGCCAATCCAACGCACAGTTAAAAGTCATGGATAACGACACCGGTCTACATCAAGTCCTTGGCGAGTCACAAATAACCAATATAAAACGCATCTTTTTCAAACAAGAAGAAAAACGCCTCAATCCAGATCAACTTCGTCGTGCACTCTTGGATCACGGAAAAGTTTACTTCCCTGATGACGACTACTACAACTTAATATTCTTAAGAATCAATATTCAACAAAACGGGTTTGTAACTTGGGATGAATTCGTATCACATTTAATACTAGGGTTTAAAATTCAAGAAGTCTCACTTGAAGTAAAATCATTAGAAGAACCTATCAACAAAAAACCACGAGTTGTTAAGAGTAATCATCGTCATCCAATTAATAAAATCATCTTCAACTTCCAAGTCAAACCAGATCGTTCCTATGGATACACTGATGGTTCCTACATAACCCTAAGCCATGATGGGTATTTAAACTATTGGTCATTGGATTTATACCTGGAAAGGACAGTCCACAGCGTAAGTCCTGATTTAACCGTCTCAGATACATGGGTTTTATGTGTAGCAGCCATGCCGGATGTAAGTGTCGTATGCACTTCATCCTCTGAAAGAGATTTACGATTCTACGACACTTCTGCAAGACAATTTGAACTTAGAGTACAGTTTTACTCCTTGGAATTCGCAGCATGTTGCTTATATTATACATTCCCAAAAGATATAAACGAAGACTGTCGGTTGATTTTTGGTGATATGGGAGGTAACGTAGGAGTAATCCTCTTCTCCCTATAAATCGAGGACCATTCCGGAGTAAAATGGGTGAACCTTTATTAACTGTCCCATTTGATATGGTTGAAAAAGGTTTAGTCCCTGGTTTCACTGTAGTGATGTTTATAAACTTACACAAAGAATGGGTGCGTCAGGTGGAGTACTACTCCTTGATGAATATGATCGTATCCTGTAGCACATCCCAACGTGCATTGGTCATGCGTGATATAACCGAAACTCGTGGTTTCTACTCTTATAACGTCCCCAAAGGCATTTGGTGCTTTGCATGCGCCGATGGTTTTCCTCAACTTGCCACCGGGGGATCTGATTGTCTCATACGAGTGTGGAATCCATACGTTACCAAACGACCACTTGTTGTATTTCATGGTCATCATACTGGTATTATTGCCTTGGTGTTACAAGATCGTGGTGCTATTTTGTGTTCGTTGTCGGAGGATAAATGTATTAAGATATGGGATGTCTCCAATGAAGTGTGTATACAAAACTATCTGGGTCTTGGAAGTGAACTTGGTGAATATGCGAAACTCAGCATGTTTTACAATCCGGATTCACGACAGTTGATCATTGGAGGTATTGCAATAGTTGCGCTATTTCTGCGTCCACTACAAAATGGCGAACATACAGATGGGTTTTCTCATTCGGCAGCGGTGTCGGTATTGTTATACAACACGTTGTTTCGTATAATCCTAACCTGTGGTTTGGATTCGAATATTATCGTCTGGGATCCTTGGAATGGTAAACGGATATCCGTAGTGAAAGATGCCCACACTCGACAATTACATGGAGAGATTATCCCTGTGGATATTACAGCTGGTTGTTTTGATCCTGGTAATCAAAACCTGTTGACTGGTGCTTATGATGGAACATTAAAAACATGGAACTTCAATTCCGGGACTTGTTTGAGGAACATGCGCATTGAACACGGATGTGAAGTAACCGGAGTCTGCTGGGTTAAAGGAAGAATTCTAGCTATTGGCTGGAATCGCCATGTTACAGAATTTGCAGATACAGGTGGTCCTGCAGGTCCTGGAAATGTCTTTTGTAAGATGTGGTCTATCAAACACACCGATGATGTGTTAGCAGTCGCCGCCAGAATCCCACAGACACTTGCAACTAGCACCTACAATGGGGAGTTGGTCCTCTGGCGTTTGGAGACTGGTCAACCCTATAAACAATACGCAGTGGCTAATCCAACAATGCGTGTTAAGATTACCTACGATTTTGAGAAACGTACACGTCATGAAAAGCCTAAAGTTACCCCATTGAGTAGAAAATATGGTTTGAAAAGAGATTTGCGTAAACCGCCGCCTCCACCACCCCCGAGACCTAGTGTAATTATACGAAAATTAAAACAACAGGAACGTCGTGAATTGGTAAACATTGGGAAGGATACAATTGTAGGATCATTGAAATTAACCCGGAAAGCTAAACCTCTTGTCCTACCACCAACAATATGCCCAATTCGGGGGTTAGCAGTGCGATGTATGATCTTCCTTGATAAACGCCCCATGAAAGTAAATGTGGGGACTTTGTTTGTGGCATTAGAAAACGGTGATATACAAGTATGGTCCCATCATGTAAGCGGAGGCTTCCTATGTGCCTTCCAAGCTGTACATGGAGTAGGTGATTATATTGTCTCGATGTGTTCAGATGAAAACAACGAATACCTCTTCACTGGATCCACTGAAGGTTATGTGAAGACGTTTTTAATGACCAATTTTCACAATGAAGAAGAAAACGTCCACGTTTGCATCCCGCGTTATCGTCTCATATTTCCCTTCCTCTGGTACCGTTTCTTTCCTGGTCGCGCAATGAAAGCACTTGGTGAACAAGAGAAACCCATGTTACTCAATAGTTACAAAGCACACAGACAAATCGTCTCAGGTTTAACCTTCATTGATAAACCAAAAGTGCTCGTCACAGCAAGCGCCGACTTCAGTGTACGATTATGGACACTTAGTGGGAAATATTTGGGTACCTTGGGTACCTTCAAACCATGGAAACCTATCGATCCATTAAGTCCTGTAGATGAGAGCAAGCATGAATTTACGATCCCACCGGATGTTAAACGTGTGATGAGTTCTACTTCACAAAGAGTTTTCTTAGGAGAAAAGTGGGAGAAGAAATTGACGAAGAAACAAGAGGCGGCGCAGGCTGAGAAGGACAATGCATATACAACAGCAAACGTGCATACATACGGTCATAAATTGGTACCACCCATTTTGGGCAACTTTGTTACTCTTGCAGAGAAAACCACGCATAAATTCGAGGTCCAATTGGATACAACCTTTCCATATGTGAGTATATGTTACCTAAAGTATTTTAAAGATTAATTTGATGAAATTTTCATTACAGATTCCTGTTTATCAACATTTAATCCGACCTCATCCAGTGGAACTGCCAAAATTAACCCCGCACAGCGAATTAGGCCTCGGAGAAAAAGACTCCTTCCTCGGTTAGGACAATATTCATTGGTTAAAGGTAATACACTTGAAAATATAATCATTTACCTTTAATATATGGTTCCGCAGTGTATATATACCTTTGAAAATCAAACTCAACAATGTGTATCAGTATCAACCTATAACGACCTAATTACGAATTCAAGTCTTGTAGGGTGCTACATGCTTCTAACATCAAGCAGGCCATCTTGTGCTCGGGCTGCTTCTCCTCCAAACAACGCAGCGCGTGCGTAATCAACACCATGTTGCTCTCCAAGTCGCTGGGCGTGCACCAATCGCCATCGAGCGCGTCTAAATACTTTGTAAGTTGCGTGCTACACGCGGCCATTTTCTCGCCGAGGTCCCTAGACGATGCCAATAACTGCGCTAGTCGTTTACCGGCGATCTTGACTAGATCCGGACCCATTTTCTCCTTCTCAGTCACAGTGGGCAGTAAATCAATGGCGAAACTATCAAAACCAGCTGATAGGATCTGTGCAATCTGGTAACGTTTCAACAAATCCACGTCTAAGTCCCATAAACGCGCTAGGGTTATACACTTGGACATCCATGACACGTGATCAGCGGAATAGATCTTCCCTTCGTTCATTGTGACAGTATCCATGCTAGCGCTGATTACTTTCAACAAAAATTGCAAACGTGACGCGGTTGTCTTGGAATCAGCGCGATTATGTGTATTAATCTCGTTTTTGTGTTGAAAATCACAAAAGAATAGGTTATTAATCGGCGTGTCGAATAGATTCGTCAATACCTTGGTGTGTTTCACCGCAAACACGGTCATCATATGCATAATCATCGCTAGTTGATAGTGTAAATGCACTAAATCATAATTAATCGCGTTTTGATTTAGTGCCAGTTCTGATAGGGGCGCAGCGCTGCCATTTTCCCAAATTGCTTCATAAGTTAATGTCGGTTTTTGGTAATTGTACGACTCTAGCAGGGTTTCCATAAAAATATCAAAGAACCCCACGCAAAACTCGTAAAACAACGTGATTTGATAGTCGGATAAATCTGTATCTTGACGACAGAGACGCTCCTTTGGTAGTTTACCAACTTTGTTGATCAGTTTTGAAGAAGCTTCGAAAATAATCTTCAGATGAGTGTTCCACACTAGGTTATAAATTCCTGTTTTGATATGTAGGTTGGGAATCTGTACCAAGCATTTTAAAGATGCTTCGAGGAGATTTAAGTTAGAAACGTCCTTCTGCCATGCAAGTGCGTATTCCCAGCACATGTTGGCTAACAACACGCTTGGTTCCAGACTATGTGGGAATTGTTTCTTTATAATGCCCAAATGATAAAATACAGGTTCCTGTATTTTTTTGGATTCTTCAAGTGAGGTTAACTGTTGACTGTTTTGCGCATCGTTGCTACTAGATTGTAAATCATCCAATAGAATGTCTTCAGGGTTCACACCACCTTGACATAACCATTGTGAGACTGTTTCACTCACAGAACCTTTTCCCCTTTCAAGAATATACTTTAAACTTACATCATGGCGGTCCAAATGCAACTTGGGCAAAACCGCCTCACAAATCGGTTTATTGCTTAGAATGATATTCAGCAGTGACACATCTTCAAGTTTACCAATCAACAGTGTCCATTGACAATTCTCTTGTGATAATTTCTCCCACATGTCAACATTATCCTCTTCAACACTATTTCCGGACTGTTGTAGATCCTTCTCAGCTTCAATTCGCTGCGCGACGCCTTTACAAAGCACAGCCGCCATTAATGCAGGGAAAGGCTTGTGTGAGTTCTCTAAATCATCGCGCACGCGCGTCCAGAACGCCGACACGCAGTTGTATGGCACCGAAACAGTATTGGCATCGAATATCTTCGTCAACGTGTGAACAGTTTCGCTAAAATTCTGCATTTCCGATTCGAGGTTTTGGAAACTATCCAATGGACGGTTCACCCAGTGGAGTAACAACAACGAAAACAAATGCTCCGGTTGTATAGAAGAGTTACGCGCGTGGAGTTCCAACTCCGGATCCGGGCACTCGTTTATATACTTAGCAAATATCTTTTCTGCAACGTTATATAGCATTGAATCTTCGGGGTTTTTGATTTTCAAAGGGGGCGCTGCAGTGTAGTCGAATATTTTAACGAATTGACTTAGGTAAACTTCTTTGTTGTTTTCGAACGTGACTCTTGGCTGCATTTTATAGTCGTTTAGAGTGCTCAAATCCAAAAGACGTTGTAAATTGTTCATTTCTTTGGTTCCAAGTAATGTTTTGCTTGTTTTTCTGATTTTTCGGTTTGCAGTTACCATTTTTGACATCCAAATCTTCACTTGCGCTGTCAAGTGTCAAAAAGTTGAAGAAATGGCTCAATAAACTTAAATTTTCGACGATTCGCAACAGCATCTTCAAATCTTCGCTATCTTTATCGTCGCGTTCATCTTTCTCGCATTTCTGGTAATATTTATCAGAAATGGCCGCGCAGCATGCAATAATAATATCCGCTGTGATATCTCGTGTCCCAATAAGCATTTCGAGACATTGCAGTGTGACTTCAACAGTTTTAAACTCTTTGAATGTATTTAACGCTTCATTCAACAACTTATCACTGTCATCCACGCTTTTCACCATCTGTTTGAGCCGTTTATACAAATGCACATCTCTTGCACGCTTGCTATTCTTCTCCGCAAGCGAAAAATGGAAAGGTATCACGATTTCCTTCATTTTCCCATCGGAATCAACAAGCAGACACGTAAATTGACAAATAAAACGTGATTTTGACGTGTTTTGGAAACCCATGAGGCCGTAGTTGATGTTCATCAATACACTCGACTTGGCGGCAGTAAATGTAGTGATTTTTGTCCCCTGCTGCGCGCAGAAAATCTCAACAGAGCCCTTTTTCGCGGAATAGATGACCAAAAACAACGCGATTGCTTTCTTAGACGATTTGCGATTTTTACGCTCGTCTGGGACTTGAATAAAAGCACACTGCGCTTCGCGATAACCTTTGAATATGCGCAGAGCAACACCACGATGAGTGTCAATAAGTAAAACTCTTCCTAGTCCATCGGAGAGTGCAGCTAGGCGACGATCTGGTGAAAGAACAACGCGGGACGAGGAACGTCGGAGATCACATAAACCAAAACGGCAAGCCATGGCTTCAGCGGGGACTAAAGCAGCACTTTCGGATTTATCAGGTGTGGCTTTGGTACCAGTCAACCAACCACTATACAAATAAATAAGAATTAATATATATTTTAATATTCATTGATAATTTTACTTACGGTAATGCTGATTTTAATTTAGACGCTACAGCTTTAGCCACATCACTCAACACTGGCTGTGATCCGCCTTCCAGTGCGTAATGAAACCCTAGGAATGGTTTAGAACCGGCAGCGAGGACTAAGGAATTGTACGGAGGCATCGCGCGATATTTAGATGCGAATCCACCGCAGAGCGATGCGGTTAACAGATGATCAAAGGTATTTTGCAGATCTAGGCCTACTACTGCTACATCTGATACTTGTCCCTGGTCTACAAAGCCCCATTTCTTTGAACTAATTGATAATTGATTGGGGTCATTCACTATTCCTGCAATTAAAGCAATAAAAATTAATTATTTTGATTAGAAGTTGTTAAAAATAGTTTTTACCTTTGGCTAAATTACTGCGGCACGTCCGTAGCATAGAAAACAAATGGCTGCCATTGATCACACAAATATTGCTTTCATAAACCACATAAACTTCCTCAGGTTTCAGCTCAGAGCTGATGTCTGGTTGAGGACTGTGCTGTGATTGACATTTCAATGCACAAACTGGTTCATTGTGCAGTTTTTCCTCAAATAATAGAGTGCAGTTTTCTGTGTAGAAGGAAACATACCCTGTTTCAAATGCAATTGCTATGCAAGTCCAATCTGGTCCCACCTTTAAATTAAAAATAAAATATTAAAAGTTAAAATATTATAAATTTATGTGTTTTTATGATTAAATTACATACTTGAGAGCTTTGACTTTGAATCACAATTGGCAAACATAACACTGCCTTGATGTTATCTTTGAAATCATGTAAACTTGCATCATTTATGCCAAACTGTGAAAGTGTTGAATGATTATCCCATCTTCCACTGCTCACCACCAATCTTTTCTCTCTTGCAAAACAATTAAATCCCCTGTTGGGGATGCTGATACCAAACTGTTTTGCAACCATCCATCACCCCTGTAATATTATTAAAACGGTTAAAATTTGCAAAAAATGTTTTATGGGTCAAATCAGTCACCTCTGTTATCATCTGTGGGGAATAAATGTCTGCGAACCGTCGCGACGTCGACGATTTCGGCAATTTGTTTGATTTGCACCGACATTGTTAATTGTTATTTCGTGATCATTATTTGTGTTATTTTTGTTGCGCTGGATTATTCATAACAAAGAGCTGCGACAACATATGAAGACTTTATTTTGACAATTTTGACAGCTGACAGCTGATCGAGTAAAATTGCTGAAAAATCTAAACTATTAATCGTTTAAAAACTGCAGAAGCTCAAATAATGATTAAATAATTATTCAAATATTTGTTTATGTTTAAATATAAGTGATTTGTAAAAATATATTAAGCATTTAGGCTTTAATCATATTTTCACTTTCATATGTTTAGGATGTTTATTGTTTTGTTTGGTAAATATTTTTTAATTGTAGCTTATTTATTTTAATTTAAACCAAATTGGAAATTATTAGGTAAATTATTATAACATTTTGTCTTTTTGGAATAACTTTTTGTATTGCGTGACAATGTTTCTATCGCAATCATTTCCGAAGAAAAATTAACTTTGCGGTGAAAATTAAATTAAAAATTAACAATTTTAAGCGTAATAAGTAAAGTTTAAGAAATTACATCGCGCAAAGAAAGTTTATATTAATTTATACGCATTTATTTAGCAATTCTAACGTTTTCTGTATTTCCGGCATTTGCAGTTTGGCCATCAAACGGCTGCGAAGGTCAAACGCGACAAATATTTGACAGTTTAACGTGATTTATCTAAAAATTCCAATAACTACGGCAACAAACTACAGTTGCACAATTTTACACGGATCATCGCCGGATTTCAAGCGGCTGAAGTACAATCATTTCCAAAAATAGCAATAATAACACATAAGCAGTGAGTAACACACTTTTCACACACATTGCACATGTTTGTATGTTTGTTATTGCATTGCATTACAATATTTTCCTGAATATTGCAGTTAAAGGTTGTCCACCGCGATGGCCAGCATTATCGACACTCTGGTGGAAATGGGATTCCCCCGAAATCGAGTGTAAGTAAAAAAACATTCATTATAAAAATCATTTCCTGCAAAATGTGCATTAACCTATGTTTCCACACACAGGGAATTAGCAGTCTCAAAATCAAACTCAAAAGACATTGAAGCAGTAACAGAATGGTTGTTAACTCATGAAGAGGATGAAGTCAGCACACCCCAGACACAAACAGCCACACTGCCACAAGCAGCAGAATCAGAACCAAATGAAGAACTAGCCGCATTAGCAACAAGCTCCCAAGAGCCAGCAGCAGCCAAATCAATCAGATGTGATGATTGTGGCAAGTTATTCAAGAATCAGAGTGAAGTGGAGTTCCATGCTGCAAAATCCGGTCATGAGAATTTTTCAGAATCCACTGAAGAAAAGAAACCACTCACTGAAGAAGAGAAAAGAGAACAATTGGAAAAGATTGAGGCGAAATTAAAGCAGCGTCGTTTAGAGCGTGAAGAACGCGAGAAACAGGAAGCCTTGGAACGTGAAAAGAAAAGGATACGCTCCGGCAAGGATATGCTGGAGGCAAAACAGCGACAAGCCGATCTAGAGATGAAGAAAATCGTAGAAGCGCGTAAACGTGAAAAAGAGGAAGATCGTTTAGCGCGACAGCGAGTCAAAGATCAAATTGAACAGGATCGCCTGGCAAGGAAAGCGAAATCAGCATCGGAAAGTCACGAAAATGCCGCAATTCCAAACCCGACGACTTCCACGCCAGCCGCGCCAACCCCAAAGGCTGCGGCGAATTACAACGAAGTGCGTTTGCAAATCAGACTCGCCGATGGTCAGCAATTAATTACAAAATTCGGAGCTAAGGAACCGCTGTCGGCGGTGAGGTGTTACATTCAAATGAATCGCCCGGAAGCCACTCCGTTTGCGTTGATGACTTTAGCACCCAGGAAGGTGTTTACTGATGAAGATTACGAAAAACCACTTGATGTCTTAGGTACGGCTTTAAAATATTAATGAATTATTAAAATAAATAATAAAAAATATTTTTATTGCAGATTTGGGCCCGGCTGCTGTTCTAGTGGTGCAGAAATTGTAAAAATCGTATATAAGTTGGATACAATTCACTTAATTTAAATACGTTTACTTTTAATTGTAAGCTATGGACGCGCTTGATGACTAAATTGGTTGGTAGCGAGCTAAGTACAACTAAGTCTAACATTTTCACTTCACTGCACACATTGTTGCAACTCCAATTGGGGCATAATTTGTTATAAACTCACCGATTTTTATGAACATGATTTTTGTATCATTTTATAATACATACATACAATAAATACATAATTTGAGCAATTAAAATAGTGTTTTATGAATATCTGCGTGAAATTATACTAAAAATTTGTATATTTTAAGTTGTAAGTAAGGAAAAACATGTTTTTATGGCGTAATTCTGCAAATTATGAAGTTTAATGATGAAAAATTGCATAAAATTAAGGTTTGAGCGTTAGGACATTGATTTTAAGCAAGATAATTCAATAATTTTATGAATAAAGTGCATTTTTCAGCAAAATTTGCGAATTTTCTGTCAAAATTGGGTAAAAATAATTTGACAGCATTTTGGTGAAGATTTTATGCAGTTTCCTGCAATGAATCCTAAAATTATTAAATTTTAAAACGAAGAACAAGTAAATATTCCCTAAAGATACATTATTATTCAATTTTTAAATAAAATAACAATCCCTGTATGAATAAAACTCAAAATTTCGTTTCTTTTGTTAAATCTGCACACAAAAACGTCAAATTTTTATTGATTTCATTTGCAATTCTCTGCAATATCATTTGATTGATAAAGAGTAATAAAACTAAGCAATTTTTTAAACAAATTAATCATCTTTTGTAACGTTAGAGTTTTGTTTATTTTGTTTACACGCTAGCAACGTCCCTTGTGTCCCGGTTCGGTACTAATCCGCCGTGCGGCATACCAGCATCGGCAACAGTGTGAAAACACAAGTGAAGTAGCGAACGCCATGAGCCGTCGTCTGGTTAGTTGCTGAAAAGGGAGTGTGTTTACAAAAGCTGAATTTCCACACGAAATACGCGACCATCGCGACGAATCTGTAAGTCCCAAACAAGTACACACCCCATCACACACTCTGCGCCACATTACATCGTCTTCATCTCCTGTTTAACTACAAAAACTGCTCATAATGCAGCGCACACAAAGAAAAAAATGCCCGATTGTTTTCGTACCGAAGCGAAGCTTCCCCACACCGGGTGGATGAATTCACAAATTATCTTTAATCATTTGATGTTAAGTTTATCAACCTGTGAGTTGTAATGCGTTTTGCGTCGGGATTAATTCATGAAATTCGCTTTTATACAGCACCAAAATGGCCGACTAATGCCTTGTCAATGGAATCAATTTTTCGTTGCGTTTGTGTTTTGTTTTTTTTTTCCGAACGCGGAAGATGCATCGCTAGTGCATTGAATCGTTCAACGTTGTAGTCGCGGCATTTGTTTGTCGGCGACCGTTGCCAGTGTTACACTATTTGCGCAGCCAATAAGAAAACAGTGACACCATCAAACATTGCTCCTTTTTTGTATTTCTATCTTGGTGCTCTTGCAGCAAATACTGAAGTGATGTCATCAGCTGGTTCAAGTGGTTCAGGCAGGGGCAGAGGTGGTCAAGTTGCTGTTGGTGAGCAGAAACCAGAGACAAAAGAGGCCAAACCAAATCCAAAGATGTCAAAGGCACTGGGCACATCAGCAAAGCGCATTCAGAAGGAGCTAGCTGAGATCACACTTGATCCACCACCAAACTGTAGTGCTGGACCTAAGGTATAACAATATTTTTATAAATTTATGTGTTTATTGATGTTTACTGATGTTTTATTGTGGTTTTCAGGGTGATAACTTCTATGAATGGGTTTCTACAATCCTGGGACCACCTGGTTCAGTGTATGAAGGTGGTGTCTTCTTCCTAGACATTCATTTCTCACCAGAGTACCCCTTCAAACCGCCCAAAGTGACGTTCCGGACGCGCATCTATCACTGCAACATCAATAGTCAGGGTGTGATTTGCTTAGACATTTTAAAAGATAATTGGTCACCAGCTCTCACAATCTCAAAAGTGCTACTATCCATCTGCTCCTTGTTGACTGACTGTAATCCAGGTAAGATAATAACTAAAACACATGGAAAAAATTCTGTGTTATTAATGAATTTGTGTAATGTTTCAGCGGATCCGCTGGTCGGAAGCATAGCAACGCAGTATTTACAAAATCGCGAGGAGCACGACCGCATCGCGCGCCTGTGGACGAAAAAGTACGCTACGTGATCACATTTTTATACCGCTCCTATAATATTATATTATCTACAACTGCAGCAAGTACCATTACAGCGTTACGATTACCCGCGGCGTAACGCCACCGAAAGGAATATCAAAACATGCGCCATCCGGTCGCACCGCTCCTCCTCTCATATTTGTATTTTTCGCACACATGATTAGTTTGCGCGCGTAGCTCAGTAACAAACGTAACTCTTTTTTGATTTGGCGACAGTGCGACTGACGAAGTGTGCAGCATCTTGGCGCGGGCGTGCGCTCTGATCCGAAGTAGTTATTTACGAATAGATTTAGCATATAAACAATAACGAATCGTGATGTTTTCCCTCCGCTCCTCGTAATTAATGTGTTAATTTAAGCTTATTATTTAATGACTAGAGTTTAAATTCCGTCGGCATCGCATCCACATAACATAAGCCGGAGGTTATTTATTTACGATAACGAAATTTCATCAAGAATTTTTTATGCCAAATTTGTTTATTTGTGATCATTCCTAACGTGTGTAATCAAAGTAACGAGAGGCCAAACCCTAGACACAAAATCAACCGGACGCGATTTTTGAACGTGGTGGCGAATGAGAGAGAGCACTAATGGCACTAAGTATAAGTTCCTCATAACATTGCATTAGATTATGATAGAAGTGCTCCCGTGTAGCGATTACCGGCGAGAGGCAATTTAACCCTCCTCCCCCCCACAACCATTGTAATGGCATTTGTGCTCTGCTGTAAATATTTTCCATTTTTTAATGTCTCCATATCAATACACATATACTAATCGACGAGAGTTCTTCGGCGGGAAGCTGGTAACTGACGCCCCTCAAAATGTCCCACCATACACACTTTCTGGAATTGTACATATTCTCACACGACATTCGGCAATGATTTCTGTATATGTATATGTGTTTGTGTCTCTAAGGTCTCCCTCGACGTGGTTTTAGTTGATCGAAATTTGAGTAAACTGCGATATATGATTAAGATTGATTGCCGCGTCTACGAATGGAATATATTTTTCGATAAGTTTCGCGCGAAACTTGATGTTTACATAGTTAACGTGCAATTATCCAATAATTAAGTACCAGCTTGCGCAGAGCGAGAGCCAACTTACCATAGTATTCCAACCACTTGCAATTCACACATCCAGTGGAGAGGCAAACAATCAAACTCTGAGGATTGATTGATTGGATTTGCATTGTGCAAGTGTGTGTTACATACGTGTGTCAGCTTTGTAAAGTACTACTTTTTTTAACTTACGCCGACAAACAAACAAAAAAACACGCAGTAAAGCGCGGTAGATGATGATTTTAAATGAAGCGACAAACTAATTAAGAGAATATGGACTATTCTTCTAGTAATGATATGATTTTAGTTATAAATGTATACAATAATAAATTTAAGTATCTTAAATTTAAAAGCAATGCTTCCTGTTCTCCTAGTTTAGTTACATATATATTCAGATATAAAAAGCTTACAGTTATGGTTTATTACGTTTGGAAGAGTGAATTGAATTGGAGATTAATTAGTTTGCGCTTTTGCTATTTCTTCTTTAAACTGGTTGATTGTTTCACGGGCGAGTGTTACTTTGTTGCGTAGTGTGACGATTTCAGCGCGGACTTTCATTCGGAGATCTGCGATGACTTTTGCGGTATTTTTCTTCTTTTCTTCAACTAGAAAAAGAAATATTTGCGTTTTTATCATTTGATACTTTTATAGTGTATAAATATTTGTTTATGTTAAAGAAAAGTAACAATATCTTTTAGATAGAATTGAAAAATGATACTTTTGCGTGATTTGACACTGAATACAAGTGTTTAGACTAGTATTTAATCTATAAACAGAAGTAATTGAAATATTGTTGATTAGTAATGGAAAATTTAAGCATAATTTTAATTTACTTACAATCTGTTTCATGTTCCCATTCACTATTTGTCAACTGTTTGGTGTTTGTCAAATAATGCTGCATTAGTTGAGTGGGATCTTGAAAAACAATCTCATCATAACTTTCAGTCACCAGAGTCTTGCTTTGTTCCATTGCTACTTCTATAGAGTTGCCAGAAGCATGAAATAACTTTAATATGTGATACATAGTGACTGGGCGTTCGTTTGGATCGATAAAATGTATTTTGATGACAATTTCAAACTCTCCCCAGCCAGTTTCACTGATTTCATATGGTGGTTTGACTACAATTCTGTTTTGGTTTGCATAACTTTCATGTAGTTTAAAATGTACTTTTTAACATATGCAGACATATCTTCGTTGTTGAATGGTTTTACGTAGACGGTCCATTGATGTGTGTGGCCGTCTTCTTCGCGTTTCTTGCCGAAATATCGCGCGACATTGCCGTAAACGATTGGTTTCACAATGCAAATGCCCTGAATGAAAATTATGGAGTTTTATTAATTGTAATATGTTTAAAAATGAGAGAAATGTTACCTTTGTGCGACCGCCTGAGTCCGGACCAAAATCTGTTGGTAAACTCATGTTTTTTGGATTTTATAAGTTGATATTTTGTGTAAACACCGGTAGAATCGTGTTTTGTTTTTGTTATGATTTTTGTGAGGTTATAGTGTGCTTCTAAACTGAAGGTCAGAAACATGCAAAGAAAGTTGCCTAACTATACAATATTTTAATTCCTAAATTTTATTTTTTAGTTAATTAAGATACATTTTCCATGATTTATTAAAACTATAACTACATTTAGTCCAATCCTTCCTTCTTTTCTTTAATGGCCTCACTAAAACGTTCTTGGAAAAGTGACAACTCTGAAATCAGATCAGTAATGGCATTGTTCAATGCTTCATGTGGAGAATAATCAGAAGTGGTCTGAATTCTGATCACAAATTTGTGTTCCAATGGATGAGGCACCTTGTAGCCAGCAAAAGTACATTTGGGTCTTTTAAAAGTTGACTGAAAGTAAATAAGTACAATAAGTAAGTACAAAGGCATAAAATCGAATTAAGTTAGTAAACTTACTTTCTGATCATGTTTCCCAAAGTGTGATCTTCTTTATTCACAGTGAAAATAGCTGCATTGGTAACTTTTGTGTCTTGTTCCCTCAATATTCTAAAATAACACAAACATTGGAAAATGTTAGTGTAATGTCATAATATTACGTTTATGACTTACTTTCTTTCTCCCTCGTAAAGCAAGAACGATTCGAATGTCGGAGGCGCATTCATTTTGTATAATTTTGCGTAAAAAACAAGCTAAATTTATTGCAACGCAGAAAGAATTGTTTTGTGCAAAACAACGCTATATTTTAGGTTAGGCTACGAATTCTTAAGCTATGCGCATGCGTAGAAAATAATTAAATTCAAAACGCGTGATTTTAACAACAACAAACCACATTTACCTGGTTTTATAAAGAATTAAATTAATTTGTTTTATTATTCTATGTGTTATTAAATTGATTGCACTAAATACTTTATTAATCAAGTATTTTAAAATGAATAAATGCTGTGTATTGCTGGTAAGAAAGAAAACTGTAACAATTTAATACAATTCATCAAATTTAAGACATTTTCTTGTATGTCTAGATTGAATTTCGTTATTTTGTTGTTATCGCAAGTCAGTTTGATCATATGGTTGCATAACTTGAAGCCAAACAAGACCAGCACGCTCCCGATATCCATCTCAAGCAGACAGCGCAGACAGGTAGCACGGTTAGCCCGCCCGCCGACGCGAGACGATCGTCGTCGCTGGCCGTCGCAGTTCGAGTTTACAGTTCGTGCGCGCTTGTCGTCGGTCGTTGTCGTTTCAGTCGGTGTGTGCGCTCGCGTCCGCTCGAACAAACCAGCCATCCGCACCGCACTCTTGCGTCTTGCGCGCGCCGTCGCGCCCCGATCCAGCGCACTATCCGCACGAGGAGTGTGTGCCTGCGGTGTCTATCCGTCGGCCGCGAGGAGACGTTATCAACAGCCCGTGGTGTGCGCGCCAGTTTGTGAGTGCGTTCGGCAGCGGCAGCAGGAAGCGCGCTCGTGCAATGGCGGAGAACGCCGCAGTGGCGAACGCGAACCCCAATGTCGAGATCATCCGCGGCCAGGCGTTCGAGGTGGGTCCTCGCTACACCAACTTGTTCTACATCGGCGAGGGCGCCTACGGGATGGTCGTGTAAGTTATACTATTTTCCTATCTCCGCGCCGTAACAAAGAACCAACCGACACACACCGACCGCTCGATCGTCGCCTGTGGCCCGCACGCACGCACGCAAAACACGCCCAAAAAAGCGCATCCGAGTGCGTTCGCAATCTCTGCGGGCGTTAATCGCAATACTTCGCTGCGGGCGCGTTGTTTGCCTTTCAATTTACGTACTACATGCTTATAGCCGCGCGTTCATTTGATAAACTTTTAATAGTCGCAGACGCGACAGTGCGGTAATGTTTTGAGGTTAGGTCACATCCGAAAAGAAAAATACGAGGTGTGCACTCGCATTATGAGCATGAGTAGTGTGTAAACATGGAAAAATCTTGTTTTGATTGCGGTATCTTGAGACGAATTTGGCTTAAAACGCATTTTGTGCTCTCTAATCAGTAAATAATGCGGTTTTACCAAGACAGGCTTTTTTTTTAGGTTTTAACTGCGATTATGTTATGAGATAAGATAAGAAACGATTTGCAGTTGTTCTGTGTGTGTTTTTAGGATTTGTGTCTTATGCGCATTATATTATGTGTTTCAGCTTAGGTGCGCTTAGGTCAGTTGTTTGTTTTTATCCAGCGGGGAAAAAGTTGATCTACAGGTTTCTGTGCGGTAACCACTCGCAACACGTAGACACCACGTATTGTATAATAACAATGAATCATAAATTAAAAATTTCATCACCATAAACGGTTTAAACATGTAACATTTGTATGGTTGTACTGTATGGTGCTTCTTAATATATGATGAAGTGCTTAAAAGTTTTAAGATTAAGTTTTGTGCATTAAAACTCTTAAAAAATAAAATAAAATTTGCGAATGTTATTGATGATATACACAAATACAAAATTTTTGTCAAAAAAGTAAAAATAAATCACATTTTTACAAAAATTTTAAGAGTTTTTAGTAAAAGCTAGTTTAAAATAAGTTGTAAAACCTTAGGTTATAAATTGGTAACAAATTGCTATATTATTGATAACGTAAACTTAATAAAAAATAAAAATTTAATATTGTAAACATATTATTGTTTTCATCTATCGAGTAGTGTAATTGAATAACTCTGAATCAGCTGATATTTATTATTTTTACTTTAATCTGTCTATAGTATGACAGTCCAACGACGTACCTATTGGTTATGGTAAATCTCTTCTCGTTGATAACAATGTTACCTATTGTTTTCATCAAATTATTACAACTTCGAAGCCTTACGAAAGTTTCATTAATTTTCAAACGTATAGCAAAGAAATTAGTTAAATGCTTAGAGTTTTAAATGATTTCTAAAGCACTTTGATTCAAAATAGGTATTTATTTTAGTTGAAAGCAGAAAATATGTCGAAGTTTTATAGAAAATTGCATTTTTGTTTATTAATATTAGTAATATTAGTTAATATTAGTAGAATGATGTATAACGTGAATTTGCACCCTATTATTAATATTGTTGGAAGCGTATTAATAATTAGGATTCGATTTTTTATTTTTAAAGACAGAATAATATTAGACAGATGTAAGATTTATTATGAAATAATAACAAAATTATATACATATAATGGTTTCATTTTACAGTAAAAATGAATCAATCACATTGCAATTTTTCAAATTTTTCATTCTTGTTATTTTCTACAACTGCACTTTTGTGTACACAATTTTAATTTAAATTGTACCTACCAAAAATAAAACTAAAAAAGTGAAATGCATTCTGTAGGCAAACGGTCTACTGGCAGTCTGTTGTGTTGTAAAATATTCAATATTGAATTTGAGTTCAAACATAATTTAAATTTTAAATGATGGAGTTGTATGCATTTCTGCGAACGGTAAAATGGATTTTATGCAAATTCCACGTGTAGCTGTAGTTTCTCCAAAGGGAGACTCGTGTCAATTGACACAATTTTACTTTGAAGACACCAAACATTTCTATTAATTCAAAATATTAAATCATTCATCAAAGGTAACATTACTTTCTTTATCAGTTTAGATATGATTACTTCTATGTTGTTCGCGTACAATTTAACATCAGCTGATTCTAATTCACTATATTGCAGTATTTGTCACGTGGCACCTCATAAAAACATGTGTACTGCGGTAAAAATAACAATATAATGATCCCGACTTGATGATCGGCTATTAAAGTTATATCAGTGTCATTAAACGCGACCATTCCATAGCGCACGCGTAAAAAAGCAACTCGATGCTTTATTAAATATCCACCGCAGTAAGTTTACCCCTTTACTTGCTCCATGTCTTCTTTGCATGTTCGAATCGGCGCGTCCGCGTCTGTGTTGGTTTTTGGCGCAATGCGATATGGTATTTTTCCGCGGGAATGCCAACCAACCAGGCATCCCAATCGAATAATTATGCGCGCCTCCATGAATCGTGATTTCTGCCTCGCCTTCGACACGACATTTGCCAATTAAGCGTCGCACGCCGCAAAAGAAAAATAATCGTTAATCAATTGCAGCGCGAATTATGTTCCGACGCCGCTAACTATGTGCTAAAAATGCGCGCAGTATAATGAACACACACATACATTTACTTACAGCATTAGTTCGATGTCTGATGACAACATCAATATTTACATTTAAATCACGCCGAATGGAAATAACGCAATGAAGGTAAACACGGTTAAAGTCGGGCAATTTCCATAATTTTGTAATTTTCACTTTTGCACCAGTAGCATGATAATTAACTTGTATACAACGCGTAATTGGGTCGTAAATTAGCAGCGCGAGTTCCTGACAGTGCGCAAATAACTTGGAAATCGTAAAAGCTCGCATTCGCATATTCTCTTTGTTGGTAATCATAGATAATTAAATAAAATGTTTAAATTTCCGTACTACGCAAATTTAGCAGTTCTCTAAGCGCAGAGGAAAAATGAATAAAACATCATCGGGGTTGAAGTTGAAGTGGTGTGTGTAGGATGTGGGGGAGTGGTGGAGTGGTTGATGTTATGCAAATTCGTGTTTAGATTATCACGGAACAATATTTGCCATCACGTACCACTCGACATTTGCACGTTGATGGCGCACGCTGCGGTTGGGTGCCGAATTGTTATTGTTATCATAAATATGGAAGCCGGTAGGCTAATAATTGTTTTTCGTGTGTTACAACAAATGTTAATCATATTTGGGCAAGAGGTAAGAGGAGAGTAGCCTCAGAAGAAAAATTCATATATTTTATTAGGAAAAATACAGAAATAAATCTTTTTGGGAGTTCAGTTACCTTTATTTATATGAAGAAAAAAACTGATTAAACTTTAACTTTAACAGTCTTTTCAAAATTGAAAAAATTGAAAAAAAAATTGACTTTATTACTTTTTTGTTCTTATCATAGGTCGTCAACCCCTTCGCTTGCTTAATTAGTCTTGTTATAGTGTTCAACATTCCATTTCTGCATGTTTCTTCAATATTATATTTTTCTTTTTTTTCGTTTTGTTTATGCGACTGCAATAACTTTCCGTCTTAACAAAAATCTGTTTTTATTCCGGTCTATCGCTATACCGAGAAACCTTTAATTATGAAGTTGTGGGAATGCGTCGCCGCAAATAACCTCAGAATTACAGAGTGAAAATTCTGAAATACGTCACGTTGTAAACAATAAACAGATGAATGCGAAACACATTTAATATGCCTAAAAATCAATCGTACGACACTCAAAAAACCTGTGAATGAAAATTAATGGCAAAAAGCTGCCTATCTCCTATTATGCATAATAAACTATCACTTTGTAAAGTTGCCGCCAATTTTTTAAAGTAAATTTTGCCTGAAACAGTAACAAACAAACTGAAGTTTACATATTTAGTATATTAGTTACAATTTGGCAATAAATTAGGGTATTTTAAGTTATTTTCTGAGAAAACCTTGCCATTTACACTCAATAATTAGCTTAGAAAAGCAGCAAATGCCATTTTTACATTTTCCTTCATTAAATTTATGTAGGCAACCAAATAAGCATGACAATACTTTCAAAAAGAAAAACTACTAACTTAGAATATACGTATTTAATAAAAACTCGCAAAACAGCTTCACTTATTTAATAATAATTGCATTTATAAAATACGTAACCAAATGTACTGAAAATTTGTTTTTCTGCACTTACTATAAGTAGGTACATAAATGTTGCAAGTAATCTTTGCAAAACTATCCCTATCACTTTCAATTCACCGCACAATAGCACTCCTGACGTGTCGATTTATCAAACAGCGCCACCTATGTTTGAAATTGAATTTAATCCTCTTGAACATTGTAATAAGATGATTGATTACCGCCGGCGATACCTATATACATGATCAATATAAACTGATGGGAGGATAGTGGGTACATAATGGGCGGGCGGCGCTGAAACTTGAACACAGAGAGTAGGTACGCGCGGGTGACGTCTTCTGACCGGGGTAAATGTATCGAATTACTTTTCATTAAAGTATTGTTTTCCTCGGCCGATATCAACCGCACGTCACACACGATATTTATTCCACACTTTTTTTTTATATCTATCAACGACAATCGATATTTATGCACAAATACATCGACGAAATGTTCTACAATGTGCGGCGCATGTAAAACGGAACTACTAAAAGCATTGGTGAATAATTACATTAAACAAGCGAGTTTTAATTAAATTAAAACGGCGTGGTAGTGGTAGTTGCGGCTGAATAAACAAATGGCTCGTAGCTTGCGTCAAAATTACACGAAATTTATTAACTAATTAATAGAAATCGATGGATTATATTCGTGTTGTATTTGTGCACTTGGATAAATTAATTTAAATTGTAATCTATTTGCTTAATAGTGTTTGTAATAATAATTTAATGAAATGTTTGAAATTTTTAAAACATCCTGTATAATATCTTCAACTTTTTTTTTTTTTGTGGTTGTGTTGTTTATATAACCCGCTGCTTGTGTCGCTTCTTCTCCTCCTTCGAAGAAATAATAAATGCGGCGGATGGGCGCAACAAGCGCCAGCCGTTTGCGCTCGATTGTCCTC